GTAGTGTTGCTAGTGCTAATGGTTAGTTTCCACTTTCCGAGACGTTCTCTACTGTTTCCTGGACGCTAAGCCAACAACAGCCTTCCCCGTCATAAGTCAAGATGGGTGAGTCCATGAACGTTAAGTGAGTCAGTGCAGTTACATTCGCTCTGACCGACATCTAAGTCGATCCAGGTCGATCGTATTGTAATAAGCATGGAGTCTTTATCCTAGTTTACATGCGCAATAGAAAACCAGCCTCTCAAATAAAATTTGTTCCACTGTGGTACAGTAGGTGGCGACATGTCCCTTTTCATTTCGGAATTTTTCCGGTTATCTTATAGCAACACAAGCGGTAAACAGAGGCTGGCGGGAGTGAAACAGACAGACTTGAAACAGGATATGCACAATAGCTGAAGGAATACACAACAACGCTGCAGTACAGCTTATTTGGTACGTACTGCCTTGTTTTATGGTGTTACGGGTGTTGCTTTGTGACGATGGTCTTGTCAGAAGACCACTTCCGCGGTCTCGCCACTTTCGGAATGCTAGCTAATACCTGTATTACCTCAGCTGACATGCTTACTTGCAGAGTGTATTCAGATTGCTACCGCGTTAGCTGGGTGTTTCAGCTCGATTAGAAAGAGTTTGCTTTCAGCCAGACTAACGCATTCACATGCATCTTAAAAAAACAACGCAAGTCTTTTTAGGGCAATACTTTGGTTTTGGTGGTGGACGTGTAAACGCACTGAGTGTGACGTAGATCTGTCAGGCTTTTCTAATCCTAGAGTTTCACCATCTATTTTCTATCAGAAGCTAATGCAGGAGATAGATGTAGGAGACTATTTTCATGTTCAGTCTGCATGAAACACTCTCAGTGACCGATTATAATAAGAAATAATTTTTTTTTCAGTGTTCTACATCTTTAAGTGTCTTTAAGATTAGGACAAAGGGCCAAGGGCATGTCTGCTTAGTAATTCATCTCTTAATATTATTATTAAGCAGTTAAGGCTTTATTTAATAGTTTATTAATGCTTAACAATCCACTAAGTAACATTAATAAAGAGACCCTTATTGTAAAGTGTTACCAAGTCATCTAATAGATCTGGACTGGAAATAGCTGAGACTCATTCTCAGCACACAGATCACATGGGATCTTGCTTGTGATTATGCGTAAAATTATTATGAAGATTTGACCAAAGCAGCTATGATACCATCATTCCCCAGATAGGATGAACTCTAACGTCAGCCATAAAAGGTGGTGGGCAATAACACACGTTCCTTCAATGATTAAACATTTAAAACCCTTTTTATGAAGCCAGGTTATCTATACTTCTAATGAGCACAGTGTTTTCCCTATCATGTCACATAAAAGCATAAAAGAGTAGAATTTGGTCTTTTGACATCAAAATATGGACGAATATATCCACGGCTGAAATCCCACGGCCACGCCTACAAGATCTGAAGTTTCACTGATTTATTTTAATTTAATTTAATTTTTTTTGTGCCGTTTCCCGAAGAAGCAGCGGGGACCACTCTGTTGTTGCTTGTGATCACAGCCGGCAGGCAGCAAGGAGGAGGAGGAGGCAGGGCAGGGTGGTTACGGCTAGGGATGAGGTACGGATAAAGCATTTTTGACGAATACAATCATGAAACGAGTAAAACTCGTAAATATCTGTAATCGTGCTGAAGGAAAATCCTCATTGGGTAACTGAATGTCTTCACGCTCTGTGATTGGCCAGTCACATAGAGCGCCCGTCCCTCCCTCCACACAAAACTCTGCAGCCGGGAGCTCAGCTCAGTCCGGCCCATCCACGCACACACACAGTAATGGATCTCTCTGTGCTTCCTTCCCTTGGTTTTCTTCAGCTCGCCTCTTTTTCGGTTGAATATTTAAAGTAACTTTTTTCGTAACGTACGTCGTGCATTTGACAAGACAGAGCTGAAAACGGCTCGTGCATGCGTCGGTCACTGCCTCTGCTCCGGTCGGGTTTTTTTTAAATTATTTTAACTCTCTCTCTCTCCTTCTCTATCTCTCACACAAACACACACCCTAATCAACATTGTTTTGTTTAACTATGTGTGGGGGAAAATGCCAACAACGTTAGGAAAAAATCAGTTTAATCAAAGTATCAAAGTTTCAAAGTTGTGTCTGGTTCTAGTATTTCATATTTCCTAGTTCCTGCTGCATGAGTTCAGATGAGTCAGATTCTGATTTTACTGAAAAACTTGTTCTGTAACAGTTACTTTACTATTGTGATCAAAAATATTTAATCTCAATTCTGAGGCTGCTCTGTAAATAGTTTTCAAAGAAACAATACACATAGCACTTCTGGTCAATTCATATAAATTTCAGATTTAAAATAATGTATTGATGTAAACCACGCCCACTGATTTGCAAATAATAAATAAGAGGTGCATTCATCTGTGTACGTCCTTTGATCCGCATTAGTGATATTTTCAGCACCAGAACAATGAAGCAAAGAAACAGATTCCTGAGTTTGTTAGTAATTTTATTTATTAGGTGCATCTGACCTGTTCTATTTTTCTCTGAAATGAGATCAAATCAGTGCTTCTATGGGTCGTCTCCTCTCTGCACCAGAAAAATGTACTTTATTATAATGTTCACTGTAATGCATCTTGATGTTCTTAACAAATAAATTAAATCAAAGATATTGGTCAATAATGCCAATTATGTAAATTTGTGTTTCAGTCATTTTTATACTGGCTTAAAAATGCTTCATTAAGTCTGCTAAGCAGGGGTGCAGAACGTGTTTAATAGGGCCAGCCCAGTAATGATCTTGGACCAAAATAAAGGGGGCAGAAAGTCAAATAAAGGGGGGCAGAAGAAGATGTTTTTCCAGACGCCAAGAAAAATTAAATGCCAAATCCTCCCTGCAAAGTGTGTCACTGAGAGTTTAAAACAAAAATTATTCTTGTGCAAATATTGGTGTATTCACCTTTAATACTAGTTATTAAAATGCAGCAGTTGCTGGACTGGTGCAGTTCAGAGTGGAGTGCATCAAATAAAATAATATTAACATAAAGGTGAGACGTGTCATAACCCCCCACCCCATCTCTTTGTGTCAAAATGAAAGGATGAAGCACAGAATGCCTGACATCCTCCACACTAACACAGCTGTGTAATAAAATGTTATCATTTCTACAACTCTGTTAAACTGGTGATAGAAATACAAGTTTCTGACACTTATTGAGGCTGTAAAGTTTGAGCCAGCTTCTGTAGCCTACAGCTCTAAACGTGTCAGGACTGTTTCGGCCAAATACTCAAACAGCAGCTTTGGTACGCCGAGGTTTGGAAGCGGTTTGGTTTGTTTTTTTCCTGTTCTCAGCCAGATCTTAACCTTGTTCTCAGCGACCAACACAAACCAAAACCAGCTCTGTACAGCCCTGCTTTGTAAACAGCTAAAACACAGAATTGCTCAAAATGTCTCTCAGATATGGGAACAAAGTGGTATTTTGAAAGGTATTTCTGTTGCAAACACAACTGAGTAAAATGAAAATAAAATAAAACCATGTCCACAGTGTGGCTAAACCAGAAATAGCATCCACATTCACTGGAAGGGCGTGTGATCTTGAGCAGCAAGACTGGCCGACACGTTACTCACTCTTGATGTGTGCTAACACAAACACAGCAACAAGGCAAGGCCAGAGATAACCCTGCCCTACCGGTTTTCTATTTACAAAAAAAGTGGAAGATGAATTTGGAGATCCGTGTTGCAGTTCTGATAGCTATGTCAATGAAGACCAGCATTTCTCACAGGCGCCACCCCTGCAGACGCTCAGAATCAGACAAAAACCTGTTTTAAAGCCACAAACAGAGACTTTGCTGTGTGTAAGCACAGACCAATGTGATGTCACTTAGAGCAAAACAACAACTGGCTGTGCTGACTGAATCAGAGTGGATCAGCAGTTCTCTGTGTGTGAGGACCTTCAACAGCAGTGTGCACGCTAACGCTAACATGGTGAAAGATTAGTATGTCACTGCACTCAGAACCGCACACACACACACACACACAGATTGACCCACAATTCAGAATAATTCAAAAATATATGCCCACAAATCTCAACATGGCCTCCTAACCCCTGACTTTAATCAGATAAAATTCACCAAATGGCAAAAGCCCTCGTTATATAACCAGTTCTGCTACTACCACACTCTTACTGGGGCTCGCAAAGCGCATGTGCACACTCTTGTATACAAAATGCACGTGGACTTTTACACACCCTTCCGCATCGCACAACACCATACACTCTATGAACTTGTAGCATGTTCGGTTTAGCTAACTGATTCTGTTTTTTACATGCAGCAGATTTGTTTGGACTTTGAATTTAGCAGCAGAGGTATGGAGGTGTCTTAAAGAAGAAGCAGATGTCCTGCAGCAGATGGTCGTGAAGCCCTGATCTCATCGAGGCTTACGATCCAAAGAGGTGGAAACAACCGAGAGGAGGCTAAATCCAAATAAGTAACAATGCTCCATGTAGACGTCAATTCATGATTTTTGCTTGAGTTTGATTTTAAAGGATTTCCTCTTTCCACACAGGCGGACAATAGTTGCTTTCTTGCTTGCCACACTGAAGCACGGCCATGTGTCAAAACATGTGCTGAACTGCTGCCAGTCATGTGCCATTTCCTTCCCCTTCCACAGTCAGACTTCAATTCTACCACGTACAAACACTTCCACTTTCACTCAGAGGCAACCGGTGGCGTTTAACGGAAAAGCAACGGTTCACCATAATCATTACGGTACTTCTATTACAAACTGTTAGTCTGAAAGTGAAACTGTTCCGCCTCAAAAGCCTGGCTCACTGAACTCTCAATCATCGGTGTCACAAGCTAGGAGATCAGAAGACGCCAAGCGCTGCTCTGCTCTCAGCAGCTTAATTCGCAAAAAGCTGTTTGTGGAAGAAAAATCTGAGCAATCACGATCTATATCTACTACAATCTAAGTTCATAAAAAACACTCTGGCATTAGCTACTAATTGTGAATCAAAAGCCTCACCTGTGCATCACAGGGACCAATTAGAGATGAAGACCTTCTCCTCTTCAGTTCCATGCACTTCCTCAGCTTACATATCTGGTGGCCCGTCCTGCGATTGAGGCAGCAGCTGCACTGGCCACAGTTAATCTTCCTGAGGCACGGCTCGCACGAGCCGCACCTGCTACGCTTCCTCCTCTCTTTCCTCTGTGGTCTCAGAGACGAGAGCGAGCTCGGGTCTCCCGAGCTCCCAGATCCAGGTAGAGCCAACAGGCCGGCCTCTCCGTACCCCGTCTCGGACTCGGTGTCAAAAGAAAACGAGGAGCGAGTGCTTTCTGAGCTGTAGGAGAGGGTGGAGCTGCTGTCAAGAGTAGGAGTCGAGATCTTTGGCACTAAGTCCTCCACTGCCACCTGGACGCTGTCCTCGCCGAGGTTTGGTTTATTAACTTTTGCGGGGGCGCCAGTGCTTGACTGAATAAGGGGTGAAAAGGAGAGTACGGATGTTTCTTTCCAGCTCTTCTCTTGATTGAATTCTCTGTTTCTGATCTCCGTTGGTGTGAAATCTTGTCTTTCATCCTCGGGTGAAAGAACCACTAGGTTTGGCTGTTTTCTGTTGACGGAGTCTTCTATGTTTCTAGGTTTGAGGGTGTCCCTACAGACGATCACCGGCATGTTTCTTTTCACTATAACAGTCTGCACCTTCGGAGCCGCGGCAGGAGCCGCTGAGGAATCTGGGTGTTGAGGTTTAGCACCATGAAGGGTAGTTTGAATATCTGTTTCGGCCTTGCTCACAGCTCCAAGCTCAGAAGAAACAAAGGTGGAGAGGGATTTGGTTGGATTTGAGGTAGCTGTGTTGGAAACCAGTAACACGTGTGCACTCAGTTCCATATTACACTGAGGTGGATCAGGGGTTTGACTGGTTGGAGTGCTGGTTTGGAACTGAGCCGTGCTGCTGGAGATGCCGCTTAGCTTTCTTTTGTTTCCTCCGTTTTCGCTCTCACAGGTACCCCCAGCAACTTCTTTCTTCTCCTCCGCGGTCTCGTTTTGCTGTTCAACAATCATCTCTGCTTCTGTATTCTCTTCTCTCTCATGATCTGCCTCGTCTTTTATCTCTGTGACAACTGATCCGCTTTCATCCGCCCCGTTCTCTTTCACATCCAACATCTTACCCTCCTCTTGTTGGACAGCACACCCGTCATCCTGCGTACCACCACTGGGAACATCATCAGGCTCATTTCTAGTGATGGATGAGGTGTCGTTTTCCTCACCACCTCTCTGCACCCCCAACGAGCCACTGCTGGTTAAATCTGAGGTGCCCGAGGCGTGATCTTCCCTCCTGTCACTGATACTCAGCTGTCCGTCAGTGTCATGGCTAACTGTGACCTCAGTGACTTGCTTCAGGTCACCTTTGCAGTTATAGCTGACGGTCTTTGAGTCTTCACTGCCACAACTGTTCTGCACGTCGTTTTCCTGTGTGTTATCACACACATCCTCTTTAAGAGAGCTGCCCTCACATCCAAGGCCCTGCTCTTTAACATCTGGAGGAGCTTCAGCAACATTTTCATGATCAGCTCTGGGAATTTTGTCTTCGCCGCTATTGTCCAGTTCTTCATTAGCTTTGTCATGAGTAGGATCTTTAACATTTGAAGGTTTGTTTTTATTCTTTTGCTGCTGGGATGAAGCTCTTCTTCCTGCGCACCCCCTGCTTTTTTTCCTTCCTCTGCGTGGTTTAGGAGGCCGACAGGAACTAGCGGATACCTGCGTGTCCCGTTGGGACCTCCTCTGACCTGAAGGTTCCTGTGACTTACCACGGTTTTCAGCCTGACTGGTTGACCTCCTAGCCCTTCCGGGTCCTGTTGCACTTCGAGGATTGCTAACTCTGCCAGGGGACCTGCTGGCATCTTTACCTCTACCACGTGGGCTTCTTCCTGACTTTGCCTGCGCTCTAGTTGTTGTTGTTGTTGATCTTGTGGACTCTGCTGGTGGCTTCAGGGGCTTTTCTGCGGCTTTCCCTCTGGATTTCTCAGAATTACGGGTCTGGGGCTTGATTGTGATCTCTCTCTGGCTTTTTTTCCTCAGAGCAGGTGTCTGTCTCCTGGTGGATTTGGCGGTAGCAGGCATGGCTGTGGGCGTGGAGGAGAGGACTTCTCGAAGCCAGCATGGGAACCAGGTGATGTCTGTCGCTTGCTCAGAAAAGAAAATAACGTTTTGAATATCCAGTCTCCTTCGGTTGCACTTTACTCTTGAACAAGTTATGATGCCAGTGTGCAATGCACCACCTACAAAACGAAAATGGGGGGAGGGGAGGGTATTGGTATATTATTAAAGTGAAAACATCCTGTTTTCTAACAGAAAGCTAAATGAGTAATATCTTTATTTTGTTTCCTATAGAACACACTTTCGCCCCTCCTTAAACGTCCACTCGTACGTGCAAGTGCCTAGGGGTTGACGTCAATAAAACAAATCCAGGGCTCCCTTACGCAAATATGAAGAATAATGAGACAAAAGGCGAACAGGAAAGCTTCTGGAGCGGCTTTAACAGTTTAAAGGGCAGCAGGAACGTCGAGGAAAAGGGCTCCGGCCGGAGGTCGGATCCTGTTTTCGTTTGTCTGACTGGCGGAAGAAGAGGGGGTTATTACCGTGTAAAAACCGCCCTCGGCGCCGCTGTTTATTGTTATTATTATTTTGCACTTGACCGCTGTCATTTAAATCCCCCCGTTTACACGACGCACCGCGCGCCGTGGAACCCTGACTTTACGTCAAAGCTTCGGGCTTCCCGTGAGCTTTTATTTTCACATTCACGGCTGAAACGCTTTACATACCACAGAGAGACAGTTGCACTGTCTGAACTGCTAATAATACTCCGCTCCAGCGAGACAGCGAGACCTTGTATTGGTTCCCCTCCTTGGTAAATATAGACAAAGTTCAATCCTCTCCATACGATGACACACGGACATGGTACCAGCACCAGCAACGGGAGTGAACGTCGAGCGGAACCGGGGCTTTTCGGCCGCGTAGTCCTGACAGAGAGCGACGGCCGTTAGAACGTAAATCCCTCTTATGTCAATCCATTCAGGGCAGCCCCGCTCGCTCTCCCTCCACCAGACGCAACCCACTGTCTCTGCTGGCAGCGAGCTTGTCGTTAGTTCAGGAGGAGAAGAGGGAAAACCCGGAGTGGATTTCAAGCTAGCAAACCGCACTAGCAAACTCGCCCCAAAATAAACCACAAATAGGGCAATTAATGACGTAAAGTACGTCATATATAGAACGTATGTGCCGAAAATTTATAGTTGAGACACATATAAAAAGCGACATGTGTTTAACCGACATGTGTTTAACTAACATTAACTATTTTAACCCGGATAGTCAACGTTAATTTCTGTTTAAGTTAAGGGTAATGTGCATCTTACCTGTTGTGGCCTCAGCCTGGAGAAATTTAGATTATATTTTGCTTCCATGCAGATGCGTTACTTTGGGGGCGGGGCATACCCCCCACATATACACTATTTATAATGCATTTTGAATCCCTTCATGATTTCTACTTATGTTTACTGAAATGAGGTAGAATGCTAATGAAGTCTAGAGACCAGACTTTCAAAAGTTTTGTGTAAAATTTAGATCCTGGGCACCCCCACCACCACACACACACACACCACCACCACCACCACCACCACAACAACAAACACACACACACACACACACACCACCACCACCATCACACTTTTTAAAAGAAAATAACTTAATTGGTTTCACTTGTGATCTGAAAGTGGAAATTCTGACTTTTGAGTGGGAAAATTCAACTGGAACATCCCCAAAGGTGCATCTCCCCCTTGAAAAGTCTACGACTTTCTTAAACTCTGCCATCAATGTCTGTTAAGGCAGCTTTTCAAATCGACAACATTAGTTGTGGTGGAAATTTGTTTATAATAAAAGACACACTTGTAAGGGTGTATCAAAAATCAATTTTACAAGTAGTCATATTTTTTACAAATTAGTGTGGTATTGATACATTACTATTGACAATAGCTTCATTTTAATTATGAGAGAACACTATTGAAAGTTCTGAATAAAAATCTGAAGTGCAAATAACTACATATTTATAAAACTAATTAGAAAAAATGTATCTATTTTGGAATCCTGACTTTTCTGAGTACGTTAACTGCAATACTGTTAACTCTGGTATGTTTTTACCAACTCCGACTACCGAATTCCATGGTAAATAGAAGGCAACATTAGTTCCAAACAGACAAGCTCACAACTGCTCTCAATGAGGCAACAATGTATCTTAAAAAGTTCCAGTGTCAACATTTTCATAGCAGTATGAGCAGATATTATTTTATGACATATACGTTGCCATTAGTTTTTGATTTTACAGTAATCACTGCAGATTTATTTGAAAAATTCCAGCCAAAAGGAAATTAACTGTAATTTCTCCTCATGCCCCTAAATCCACCTTATTTCAGCTGTGAATAACTCCAGCATTCTTTGTAACTAACCATGTACTGTGTAAATTATAGTAGTTTAAAAGTTTTAAAACTAGTTATTGCATGATTTGCAATAAAATGTTTGAGATTAGAGTTGTTTAATGCAGCAAAATCCCTCAACACTTTCCCAGGAACACTCTTCAAAACCATTGACTGTATTTTTAATGGCCGGGTCCGCCGCACCGGTCCGTAGGTTTCTGAAGCGCTAAATTGAAGCCCAGTGGGAAGTTCCGACCACAGCCACCTTGACGGTCTCATACGTTTTGTCACTTCCGAAAAATACAAATATGGAACTGTGAGTGTGTCAAGACTTGCGGGAGGCGTCTAACCCAAGACATGCAGAATCAACACGACAACTGGGGGCAAGTAAAAAGAAAGCCTTTTATTATGAAAACGGGAACTACACTAGTAAGTCCAGTGAGTAGGGTGCCGTAAGGCGACAGTCCAGAGTTCAGGTTCCGAGAACAGTGGGGAAGGTGGCGAGCTGAGGTGAGTAAGGACGGGGGTCCAAATGAGTGAGGTGGGTGAGGAAGCGGAGAGGGGAAGGGCAGGAGCCGTGGAGGAGGATGGGACATAGTCCTGAAGATCCGGGGTTTTAGCGGCGAAGGTAGTGGGCGAGGTACTGGGTTCCTAAACAGCGCAAAGCAGACAGGGGTTCAGAAGCGAGTCCAAAGTCATAATCCAAAAACAATCCAAGGTCAGAGATCCAAAAAATCCAATCACGAATACACAAGCGAGCAAACAGGCGAATACGAGTGGCAGGGGCTAACCAAAACTGCAGCAATCATCCGGCGTCGAGTGGTGTCTCCATCCTCCCTTTATACTAGAGCCTCTGATTGTGAATCCAGCTCAGCTGGTGTCCCCTCCGCTCTTCACCTGTGGAAAAGAACCTCAAAGATGGTTTATTGAGGAAGAGCACTCACCTCGGCTCGTGAATCATGACAAAGCGTGACTGTGAGCAGATGATTGACATGCATCAAAGTCTTAGCTGATGTAGCTAGGAGCTAACTGAGTTAACCGAAGCTAACAGAGGATGGCAGAGTTGCTCAACGACTCTGCCATCCTCTGCCTTCTAGGCTTTAACACATGAGGCCAAGGTCGAGACCTTCCCTAGAACAAGCTGCTTCCTTTCAATCAAAAGGACATGCCCTCTAATTATTAATCATTTAAGCTTCAATTACATGTAAACAACTGAGTCACAAAACAATTCATCCCCCTTGGAGTGGTCATGACACTAAACTTTAAATATTAAATCTAATCTAATGAAATCTATTTTGTTTTTAGATCCAGGCTGTAAACATGTTTATTTCTGCTGTGCAATAGGCATTTTTAACATGGGATTCAATGGGAACTTGCTGCTTTCTGGATCCAACCCCTAGTGTAAGTAAGTATGTAAGTAAATTTTATTTATATCACACTTATCACAAAGATAGAATCACAAAGTGCTTCGCATAGATCAAAACAAAATAAAACAGTCATGAAATCAAAATGATCTCAAAGCAGACTCAGATTAACATCAGAAAAAATAAAGTCATAAAATTATAAAATTTAATAAACAGATGAAAGATTAAAAGAAAATAAAAGGTTTAGTTAAAAGCAGCTTTAAATAAAAGGGTCTTTAGCTGTTTTCTAAAAGTGTCCAGACTGTAAATGCTGCGTAAGGATAAAGGAAGACCATTCCAGAGTCGAGGTGCAACAGTCTGGGAGCGATCACCTCGACTCTTGTATCTGGTCTTTGGAACTTCTAGAAGGTTCTGGTGTGTAGACCTGAGGGCTCGGGTTGGAGCATAAGGCTTTATTTAACAGTTCAGTAATATAGGGAGGAGTTTGACCATGTAGAGCATTGAAAGTTGTAATCAGGATTCTAAAATGGATTCTAAAGTTAACGGGTAACCAGTGCAGAGACATTAGAATAGGAGTGATGTGAGCTCTTGTGTTTGCTCCAGTTAGGAGCCTCGCTGCAGAGTTCTGGACCAACTCAAGGTGGTCAAGGGCTTTTTTCTTAAAACATGTGAAAAGTGTGTTACTGTAATCTAGATGGGAGGAGATAAAGGCATGGAGAACCATTTCAAGTTCATGTTTTGACACCAACCTTCGCAGTTTGGAGATATTCCGCACCAACATTTTTGAGTGACCTTCAAGAGACATTGATTGGTCAAAAATAACACCCAAATTCCTTAAGATTGTCTTGACGGCAGAAGATAAACAACCAAGTTTTAGACTAATCAGGGGAACCATGCTCTCAGGGGCAATGATCAGACATTCAGTCTTTTCAGAGTTTAACTGAAGGAAGTTATCTTCTAGCCAGATGGTGATAGCTGATAGACTCTCATCAATTATCTGTCCAAGAGGGTATATGTACAGCAGAAACAACAGTGGACCCAAAAATGAGCCTTGGGGTACCCCACAGAACAGATCAGTAGAATCTGACATGATTTGGTTTATTTTACTGTAACTTCTGTTAGAAAGGTACGATCTAAACCAGTTCCAGAGATCCTCACTGAGTCACAAAATCTGTTAATTAAGGTGCTGTGATCAACAGTGTCAACAGCTGCAGAAAAATCTAGCAATACTAACACTGTGAATTCCCCGTTATCTGCAGCCATCATGATGTCAGTGGAAACTTTAAGCAAAGCTGTTTCTGTTGAATGCTTTTTCCGAAAACCAGACTGGAATTGATCAAATCTGTTGTGTAGTTCCAGAAAAGTAATGAGTTGATCTGCCACAACCTTTTCCAATATTTTAGAGATAAAGGGTAATTTAGAAATGGGTCTGTAATTTTTAGGCTGAGATGAGTCCACACTTGGTTTTTTAAAGATAGGTTCAATTACTTTAGAAATTGAATAGTGGATGAGAGGGGAACTGCACATTTTGTCAGCTTCACTTTTGGCAAGATTTTTGGATGTGATACCTGAAAAAATGAAAATACACTTAGCTGGTTCCAAACAAATATAGGCTAAGGTTAATAGCAACCAAATGAGTCAACTGGGTTATAGCTGGCTAAAGAACAGCATGGATTTTTTGATAAAAAGTGTTCATAATGTTTAAAAATTAAGAAAACAAATGATTTCTCCAGTCGGCCTAATTCATAAGATAGTGTTGCAAGCAAGGGGTTGGGTGAAATGACAGTCATGGCCTCCACATTAATTCCATGTATTATAAACATATACAAATAAAAAAATCTGGACACAATCGGGACACTTTCTTTGGTCCAGTACTTGAGTCATTTTGCAGACTAAAAGTTTTACATTTCCCATGCAGAGCCAAAATATTTTAAACACACTTTCAGGAAAAAAGCCATTTAAGTCCTCCTGAAAAGCAACATAAGCAGTTTAAACAGATTTTAATTCCGTTTTATTCATTTCTTTGTGAGAAAATTTTTAAAATCTCAATTAACTGTGGCTGAGCAAGCAAAGTTAGTAAGTTATTTACACAAAACTGCTTTTATTAGGGAAGATTTGACCAATCACAAGCTCCTCCCTCTTCCTTGTCTCTCCCGTCTCCAACGTACTACGTCATTATCATGCGTCCGTTTTGGTTCAGAAGCTGTCGCTCTGTTGCGGGCGACGAAGGGCACAGTTTTTGTAACCTCTCCGAAATTGAGCCGTAACTGAATTTTTCTCCAACCGAATCTGTTACCGGCGGTCTGGTGGATGGAACAGCAGTTTGTGTTTTTCGTTTCGGGTCTATTGAATGACCATGCGGGTTGGAAAAGCCAGCGGAGGTTGCTTCTGTAAGAAAATGACGCTAGTTATATGACAGGTTTCGCTGAAGACAATTTTTTTCTGTAGAGGCGCTCTTAATACACTAACGGATGAGTATCCTGACTAACTCATAGCTGAACAAACCAAACCTACTTTTAGTAACTTATTTTTAGTGTTGTCCCACGTTGTACTGTTTTTCAAGTTTAAGTAACGCAGTGACAAACTATTTCAAGTGGTGAATAAATAGTTTTCTGTAAATATGTTCATCTTAGCTCATCAGACAGCAAATGCTGAAGTCTCAACATTTTTGTCTTATCTTGACACACATATCTGCGAGCTCTAAGCCACATGTTTTTATTTAAATGAAGGCTAAAAGGAATGGATGTGGCAGATTCCTGAGCAGAGAAGATGACCTCGGAGGCTGCTGCCTCCTCCACCTCCCCCGCCACGGCGAGCAGCAGCCCCACTAACAGAGACTACTACTGGATTCGCTCTTTTGTAGCTGGAGGTAAAATCTGACACGTCTTATCTTCCTCGTGCTCACCATACCTTATATGCAGCTTTTGCATATCAAAATAAAATCAGTGATAGTCTGTAGCCTTTGTATGCAATAATGCATTTTGGGTTGGGCATCTTCCACCATTTAGCACGGACTCTAACTCCAGATTACAAGCGTGTCTTTATTGTTAGCTTGATATAAAATTTGTATAAACTAGTTAAACATTTCCTTCGGCTGTAAAAAGTGATTTCACTGTGAAGTGAAAGTTTAACTTTGTTTAATAGTCGTGATTCGTCTATTTAGGGGTAGCAGGATGCTGTGCCAAGACCACCATCGCTCCTCTGGACAGGGTCAAGATCCTTCTTCAAGGCCAGAGCCCCCATTACAGACATCTGGGTAAAACATCAGCTTCCAAACTAAAAAACACAGGAAATCATTATTTGTTGTCAGACATCTGTGAACCTTGTGAATTTTGCCTACAGGAGTGTTTTCCACTATCGCTGCTGTTCCAAAGAAAGAAGGCATCCTGGGCTTGTACAAGGGCAATGGGGCGATGATGGTCCGGATATTCCCTTATGGAGCCATTCAGTTCATGGCCTTTGACAAATATAAAACGGTACTGTGAGTACTTTTATTGTTGAGGAAAATTATTTCAAAGGGCAAAGTTATAAAAATGACTTTATTAGACTCTTGCTTTGTTCCTGTCTTCATCTGTGTGTGTGTGTGTGTGTGTGTGTGTGTGTGTGTGTGTGTGTGTTTTAAACAGCATTTGGCTCTTTTTGTGAATATGTTCATGCATCTTTTATGTAGTGTAATCATTAATCTCATGCTACTGGTTTTGATTCTGAAATTCAATTAACAGCTGCTCAATAAAAAGGTCGGGATCTCCGGACACATCCACCGCCTGATGGCAGGATCTATGGCAGGTACTGATTAGATCGGACCATCGTTACTGATGTGGATGTTTGTTTAAATGTACTTTTAAAATTGTTTTAACGTGTGTTGTGTGTTTCCAGGTATGACTGCGGTGATTTGCACCTACCCTCTGGATGTGATCCGAGCCAGGCTGGCCTTCCAGGTGACAGGAGATCACCGTTACTCTGGAATCGCCGATGTCTTCCGTTCCATCTTCCACAAGGTGATTCAACATCCGATGACCTTTCTACAGAAATATTCATCAAAAAAATTAGGCCGTTTTTTTTTAATCGTTTTATTTTTGTACAGGAGGGAATGAGGGGGTTTTACCGAGGCTTGTCCCCAACACTTATTGGAATGGCACCATATGCAGGTGATTATTGATTCTTATGCACTGATGTAATCTGAGAGTCGCGTTTGAAGCCTGAGTTTTGCTCCCATCTCCAGGTCTCTCCTTCTTCACCTTCGGCACCCTGAAGAGTCTTGGCTTGAAGCATTTCCCGGAGCAGCTGGGACGCCCCTCGTCTGACAATCCTGATGTGCTCGTTCTGAAAACCCACATCAACCTGCTCTGTGGAGGGGTTGCCGGTGCCTTCGCTCAGACCGCCTCGTAAGTTTTGTGAACCAAGGATCAGAAACATTTCTATCTCGAGACTAGGGTTGTCATGGTAACCGGTGTAGCGGTAAACCCCGGTAAAAAAGTTGACAATAATAATAACCGTCTTGTTTTTAAAAAACTGTATTATCTCGGTGGGTTTACCGTGGCTGCGGTGTAGGCGCGGTGACCCTTACCAGCCACCGTATCATCTGCTGAAGTTGCGCGCTTCGTTGTTTACAACCAAAACTTTCTTGAAGCTAAAGCTGAAATAACGGCCAAAGGAGGAGACGGCAGCGGTCAGGAGGACATTTATTATCCCTCAAAGAAGACAAAGTCGGAAGTACGGGCATTTTTTGGATATTTGAAGAATGCCGAGGGACAGCTGATAGAAGACGGCTATCCTGTTTGCAGCACGTGCAGAAAAAGTGTCTGTGAAAGGCAGCAACGCTTCAAATCTCATGACACATCTGCGTGACCATCACCCACAACTCTACAGTCAATGCAAGGCAAGCTAACGTTAGCGTTTTAGCTAAAATGCGTGATCCGAGGATTTGGGTTGAGGGAGAATGCAACGAGTTGCTATATAAAGCAGCCGCAGCGCCGCTACCTGCATATAAACCGTGTCGCGGACACCGCCATGTTGAAATGACGCTATGCATTACGGGGCTTCCAGGGGCAGATAAGAGTTGGTCTCTCTCCGAGAATAATTATGAATTTAACAATGATTACTGCCTGATGACATTTTCCCACATCTGCAAAGCTCACTGGAAGGACACAAACCGAGGACAATATTTTCCTGATATAGGGTTTATTACTCAAGTAAGGGTAAAAAGTATCTGATTAGAAGGCTACTTGAGTACTGAGTATCATCTGATCTAATATTTTTAAATGATGACATCAAACCGACAAAAAATAAGGAGTTATGGGCAAATATTGGTATTTTAAAGACTAAAGGGAAAAATGTAAACAAATAAACAACATAATTATAAAATAACACATTTTAGTCAAAATTTAGACACAAACTGAGGACAATATTTCCTGACATACAGGGTTTATTTAGTTGTGTGAAAATGTAACACGTTTAAAAAAAATACCACGATAATACTGAAAACCGTGGTAATTTTGGTCACAATAACCGTGAGGTTACATTTTCACACCGTGACAACCCTACTCGAGACCCAGAGTTGCTGGGTTTGTGGACGACTATGCTGAGTCGTTGATGTATTTTTTTTAGATATCCTTTGGATGTGGCGAGGAGACGAATGCAGCTGGGTACCGTGCTTCCTGACTCAGATAAATGTGGGTAAGTGTCGCTACTTTTCTAGTATTTAAATTTAGTTAATAACTAAAACATGTTTTGTTGTTTTATGATTAATCCTACTGAAAAAAATAACTCCAGAAACACATTGTTCATGTTGCTTGTGAACAGATCACCTATCAAGACTTTAAAGTTCGTGTACCAGCAGTATGGGATCAGGAGGGGATTGTACAGAGGCCTTTCTCTCAACTACATCCGCTGTGTCCCGTCCCAGGCCATGGCCTTCACCACCTACGAGTTCATGAAGCAGGTCCTCCACCTGAACTAGGCTGCTGCTGAGGTCTGCCTCCATGTTCTCTTACTGGAGCGACCTTAAACTCTCTCGGTACGTCTCACACTTCTCGAGTTCAGTGCCAGAGAGTCCGCTATGACGGAGGAAATCCACGACTGAACCCTGAATGGCTTTTGTTTCCTCACACCAGATATTAAACTCATCATCACTGAAAAGTTTTATTATTTTTTTATATAAATTTGTGGTGTTTTCTATTCGTTATGCTGGCGGCACCAAAACATTTCTTGAATGTGCATAAGCTAACTAATTAGCTTTCTTTGTTTGCTATTTAAAGAAATTTTAAGGTTTAAAATGATCAAAGAAGCTCAAGAAAGCATTTTTGTTTCTTTTGTGAAAAATAGATATTTTACATTTACTTCAGAATTCTATATTTGTACAGATTTATTTAGTTGTTTTTCTTTCTGCCAACATGTTGGAGCTCGTGTCCGTTTGCTGATTGATGGCAAAAGTGATAAAATATTTAGATTTAGTCGGGACCTTCCTCTTGACAACTTAAAGAGCAAGTCACCCCCAAATAAACTTTTTTTGTGCTGATAAACTAAATAAACGAGTGTCTAATCATGCTGCAGACACGTGTCGTCAATAATTTGGCACTTCAGTGCATCTTAGTTAAAATTTAAATATTCTGCCTAAAACTGGCAGTGTTGTGCCGTTGTCAGGTAAAAACTCTGCACTGTATTTGAATTTAAATCTGCCACCGCTATTGGCTAAGAAGTATGCTATGATGTAAACTGGTACATTATGATGTCACAATGCTGTCGTGAGCCTGTGTGTGTGTGTATTTGTTAGCGGCTCCGCCCTCTCGGTCTGCCAGGCAACAGCATGTGTTGCATTTTTCAAACATAAAGCAGGAGTGGAGTTAGACTCTGGTAGGGGTTGACTTGCTCTTTAACATAAACGCATCTCATCTGTATATCAGCTGATTTCTGCTTTTTTAGGTCTTAAGTAGACTCAAAGTTTGTTTTCAAATAGAAGTGTTCCCTTTTTATGTCGGTTAATTTGCACTTAATGTTCAGCCCGTGGCTCTGATTTTGAATGATGTCCAGCTCTAACATTAAAAAATGCTTATTGACACATCTGGAGGGGAATTGGCACTGTAGCTTTTATTTCATTCATAGATTTAGCACCTTGTTACCACTGGGTGGCACTGTTGCTATAAAATGTGTTAATCAGAGTTGGAAAGTCTATTATTTTGTAGAAGATGATTTGTTTGTCATTGAAAAATCATGTTTGCAGAGCTAAAAATATCTGAACAACACATGACGTTTCATTTTAGACTTTATCTCTTTGTCAGTGATTAATGCACTTTGGGGCATTTTTATAGGGGAGTAGATGCAAATGCATTAGAATGACTATGAATATAAATATGGATTTTAGTAGGAAGCAGAAGTTTTATATTAGATTATGAAACATCCAAATGGAGCTAGCATTAAGCTGTAGCCTCCCGTCACAGTTCACATCAAATATCCATCAGAGACGGATTGTTTCCCTTCTTCTGCTTCTCCTTTATCCTCATTTGAATAATTACAGGTCAGCCAAAGTACATGTTAGTGCCAAAACATAAACACGCTTAAAAGTTCTTTTAAAAAAGTAGCTTTATATCCCACAGGAGCTGCGGTTTTTAGGAAAATTAGAGTTTAAAAGGTTTTGGTCAAACTGAAAATATTTCTTTTAATCTTTGTAGTAAAACATGAAGAAAACGCACACAGACTGGTGCATTTATGGCTGTTAGAGGAAATGGATAAGTGGGAGTTTGAAGCCAAACTGAAATAGTTGATTAAACATGTAATTAATAAAATAAAAATAATACAGCAATGAGCAATCATTACAAAAATAATTAAAACAATATTTAGTTTATTTACTGAATATTCTGGAGGCGTTTGATTTGATTGGCAGCTACAGTTTAAGGAACAGAATAAAGATTTGAACATCTTTACGATTATCCATCTGCAGTCATTTTGGATGTTAAAAACTTTACTGATTTCTGTGGGAATTACGATATTTGACTGTTATTTATCAGTGCTGCAAGTGTACTCCTAATATCTACCCTGCTCCTGCTGCTAAAATGCAGACGTTTATGTACACATAGATCCTTTCTTTGTCGGGTTTTGTTAGATGTATCTTTTCAGTTTTATCTTCGGTGTCTGAATGAAATTTCATTCTCCAATTGGGGTATCTATGCTTTTTCGTACTTGCAAAATAAATTAGAAAAAGACATTGTTCTTCAGATGAGTTCAGTTTAGTCTAAATGTGAAGCGGCCTTGTCCTCTTTGGGTTACATTAAAGTTAAAGCTCTATGGAGAAAAACCACTGAAGGGCTCTCTGATGCATCTGCATGAATTTGACTGGAACAGGAATACACTGCCTGCTGTTGTTTGACGCCACACACAAATTTGACTGGTAAATGCAGCGTGTTGGTGTTTCTGCAGCCGCCGCTCGCTTCATTTCCACCACCTGACTCATCTCCATCTGTTATTTCTTGTCTGTTTGGACGAGATGAAAAAAATCAATTAAAAAAATAATGTGACATTGATTTAATTTAACTGAAACATCCTGGCTCTTTGGTTAGCCCTGCTTTTCCTTTGGTACCACTTACAGGGTGCGGCTCACTTCCTCTTGGCCTCTGAAAGGCTCTTTTGTTACTTTTCCCCTCTGATGCTACATATTTATGTATCGACCTGTCTGACGACACAGACGGGACTCAGTCTAAAGGTGGAGATGGTGACATCAGCTGCAGGTCACAGTTAGTGATGTTCCTCCCCTGACCTGATTACACACCACTTTGGTGTTGGTGCAAGACAAAGAGAGAAGTGAGACGCTTCAGGTGGGAGTAAAAAGACGATTTTTGTTTTTTCCTTGCCACAAATCTTTATAGAAGACTTTTTGGGTTCCTCTCATCTCTTTGTGGCCACCATGCCAAATTACACGGTGACCATTGCCACGGGGAACCAGTGGTTCGCAGGGACTGATGACTACGTCTACATCACGCTGGTGGGCTCGGAGAAATGCAGCGAGAGAACGCTGCTCGACAAGCCTCTGTACAACGACTTTGAGAGGGGGGCGGTAAGTGGGATCGCAAGTTATGTTCAGATCTGCTGATTAGTTGGCAGTTGCAGAAGGGAGAAGTGTTATTTATCCCAACAAAACCCTCATGAGGAAACCACTGGTCCTCTCATGGTAAAATGATAACTGTATATACAGCACTTAACGTGCTATAAATCCAGTAACTGTAATATAAATCCAGTAACTGTAATATAAATCCAGTAACTGTAATATAAATCCAGTAACTGTAATATAAATCCAGTAACTGTAATATAAATCCAGTAACTAATATAAATCCAGTAACTGTAATATAAATCCAGTAACTAATATAAATCCAGTAACTGTAATATAAATCCAGTAACTGTAATATAAATCCAGTGACACTGCATTCATTTCTTAAATTTTCAGGTTAAGGGACAAATATTGCATTTTGTGCAGTAATGTGATGAACAATAAAATCAGGACTATATAAGAATAAATATGAAATGAATCCAGTTTTAAATGTTTTATAGGATTAAATAAGGGTCAAATTCACTTGATAGGCTTAACCTTCTGCTTTGTAAACTTTTTTAGATTCTTCAAAAATATCTAAAGGTTATTTGAGTGACGGATTAAATTATTTAAATGAGTCACAGATCAGTTCAAATGTCATAAAAGAAGAGGGTAACATCTTTATATTAAGCAGTTAATACTTTATTCAGTAGTTTATTAACGCTCAATAAAGCACTAAGTAACGTTACAAAAGGGACTTCTATTGTAAAGTGCTAATGACAGTAGCTACCAATCACACTGCAGGTGGACTCCTACGACGTGAGAGTTGGCGAGGACCTGGGCGACATCGTGTTGGTGAAGATCGAGAAGAAGAAATACTGGATGCAGGACGACTGGTACTGCAGGTACGTCACAGTCAAGACCCCAGATGGAGACTACGTGGAGTTCCCCTGCTTCCGCTGGCTGGTGGATGACAAGGAAGTGGTGCTGCGGGATGGACGAGGTAGTCGTGGATTCTTTCGTCTCTGAATGAATAAACTGTCTGACTCTCTTCAGGTCAGCCTTTATTTTTGTGTGTCTGTTGCAGCTTTTCTGCCTCAGGATGATAAAACCAGCCTGGTGAAGCAGCACAGACAGAAAGAGTTAGACACCAGGAGAAAAACCATCAGGTGAGCTGAAGGTCTCCCTATAATCTAAGAGGATGAAGCTTCTAACAGCTATGGCTGTCTGTAGGTGGAAGGAGTGGCAGCCGGGCATTCCCATGAGCATCGACTCAAACAAACACAGAGACCTGCCCAGAGACATCCAGTTTGACAGCGAGAAAGGAGTCGATTTCATCCTCAACTACAGTAAGGCGTACGTGTGGCCATCTGGTTTGAATAACAGAACTGGTTTCCAGTGAAGCCAGCTGATGCTTTCTAAAAGCCTCCAGGAAGCCACAGTCAGATGATAACACCTCAATGTCTGCCTTTGTTTTCCTGATCAAGAGTTACCTGGAAAAAAATAAACAACACAGGTGTCAATGTGTGTGTGCAGAGAGATTTGCATTGTGCTTTCAGGTAGAAGCGAGTTCTCTAAAAAATACAATAACAAAACAAGTGCAAAACCATTGGTCACAGAGCGGCTTCAGATGTCGAGTATCAGATGTCAAATGAGCTGTACAAACATTAATGATTTACTTCAAAGGAGATGCAGTAAAATACACACCCTTGTGAGCAGTGCACACACACTTATACAAAAACAAATGTAATTCTCATTATTAGGGATGGAAGAAAATATTGACACATTGAAATACTGCAATATTTTGTGTTATGATACTGAATCAATATTTAAAAGCGGTGAATCGATTTTACATGCAAACATTTACTGTATTTCCATCTTTCAGTTCTTTTTAAAACACAGAAAAGGTTTATTTACCTGCAACGTTTCGTTTGCAGCTGCAAACATCATCAGGCTGACGCCGATGGTGGCGTCACTTCCTTCGTTTATCCGCGGTCAGCAGAGGACGTTGTCGCCCTCTGCTGACCGCTCTCCCCTCTCCGACGATGCAGTCCCATGCGCAATCCAACGAGTAAACTCCATCGTCTCTGTTCATGGTCCCACATCCACGTCTCCTCATCTCTATAGCTTCTTTTATCCATCTTTTGTATTTTTGTTGTTCGGTGTTTATGATCCGTGTGCTGTCCCAGTCCATTACATGGTTTTCTCTTGTGCAGTGATCTGTTACGGCTGACTTCTTTATTGTGCTTTCTGCTTCTTGTTTCGTTGCTCTTGTGTGTTTTCGACTTGCCTCTTTCTCGCACTCCTTTCTATGTTCTATTGTTCGTGTGTTGAGTTGGCGTCCGGTTTCTCCCATGAATGTTTTATTGCAGAGTTTGCATGGGATTTTGTAAACGACTCCACATCGCGCATGGGACTGCATCATCGGAGAGCAGGCAGCAGCAGCAGAGGGCGACAACGTCCTCTGCTGCCCGCGGATAAACGAAGGAAGTGACGCCACCATCGGCGTCAGCCTGATGATGTTTGCCGCCGCAAACGAAACGTTGCAGGTAAATAAACCTTTCCTGAGAAAGAACTGAAAGATGGAATTAGAAACTCAACACAGCAAGAACACACCAAATATGTTTACTGTATTTCTTTTGTGTGGTGCAATTCATACTCCAGCAGCTAGGTGGCAGCAGATTTTACCATCTTCAAATAACTGAACAATGAGATCTCATGAAAACGCTGGATGTGTCTTGGAAGCGTCTGGCCTGAGTTTTCCAATTAAATTCAGTCTTAAAAATTGCAAATATTGTCTGACATTTAGTATTGCGATGTATCGTATTGTGATTTATATATCGCATCGCCAGATTCTTGCCAATACACACTCCTACTAATTAAAGTTTTCCCCTACTTTGCATATGTTTGAAGCGTAATGTAAGATACAAACCAGATTTCTGATTCATTTTCAGGTAGCAAAAATATATTTTTTAATGTTAATTGTGACTAATATGATTAATTCAACAGTAATGTTGGTGATTTTTCAGAATAGAGAACCTGTGTGTGAACCGGTTCATGCACATGTTCCAGTCTTCGTGGAGTGACTTTGGAGATTTTGAGAAAATCTTTGTGAGAATCAAAAACACAATCTCAGGTCAGTGCCACATTCATTAATTAGATTTTTTTATAGTGTCATCTGAACTTATTTTCTGTATTTTGTTTTTCTTCAGAGTATGTGATGCAACACTGGAAGGAAGATTTCATGTTTGGGTATCAGTTTCTGAATGGCTGCAACCCGGTGTTGATCAGGAAGTGCACCAAACTCCCTGACACGTTCCCTGTCACTCATGAGATGGTTTCCGTCAGTCTGGAGAGGGAAATGACCCTGGAGCAGGAAATGGAGGTTGAAATTTTCTGGTTCAGTTAAAGGGAACATTATGCAAAACTCACCTTTTGTGCTGCCATGTTGGTCTCTACTGCTTCTATAAACACTTCCAATGGGAATTAGATCAAGCCATCCATATGTTTGTCGGTGTTTGGTTTTGGGAATTATATGCCTAAAATAAGCTGTGTCAAAAAGCCCCCATTTGTGATGCCACAAACCAAGAAGGTAGCATAGAACTACCTCTCACCTGCAAATGAGAGCTGCTGCTGGAGCGGTTACTTCAAGCCCCTCCTGGATATCAGAGCTTCTTAGCATATAGCAGCCATGGTGGGGATGGGTGGGCGTGGCCAACTCCATCTTGTTATCCTAAAGTTACTGAGATGGCTCATTCTGGAAGGTTCTGAAACAGTCAAGAATAAAAACTGCTGAAATTGCGTAAGAGGGACTTTGTGCAGAGTTTCATAAACAGATTATATTGACATTATAACTATTATAACTCAACAAAAAGTCAACATACCCCCTTTAAATTATTTGACCTCCCATCCCATTTTAAAGGTACAATAAGTAAGAAATTTAAAGTGAAATAATCACAAAACAGTCTAATGTCTCAATCGTGTTGGAAGGAAGGTTACATTAAAACAGATTTCCTTGTCAGCCGACTAGGGTGTTGTATTTTTCCTTTCAGATAGGCTGAACAGGGACATAGTAATGTTTACAACCTGTGAACCCGAAGGGTTGGTGAGTCTGCGCCAGCGTACGCTGCTGCATTGGAACTTGTAGTTTGACACCGAGAAACGAAGGAAAATGAGGACACTTACGGTTGCAGATGGTGTAGAGGAGCGTGGGAGCTCTGGAATCGCTCAGCATGAGTGAGAAGCCGTGACGATGAAACGGGTTGAGCTGTGGTCGTCTGACTGGAACTGGATCGGCGGTAACGACCAGGGAGCCACTAGATGAGGTGAACATGGAAGCTCTAGGTGCGCGACGTGAGGGAGTGAGCTGACGCGCTGGAAAAGTAAAAGTTAAACCAACTCAAAAACACACTACCGTGCTGGACGCCGTTAACCGATCCAAACTGGGAATGCTAAGACCACGGACAGAGAGCAATGACTTAGCCCCGATTGTTCAAATCAAATCAAAATTTATTTATGAAGCACTTCTCATGCAAATGCAGCTTAAAGCGCTTTACAATATTAAAAACAACCAGACAGCAGTCGGTTTCCCACCCCTCCCACACAGATTCACATAAGAGATCCCCTTTGTTTCTCCCTCCTCCCACCCTCAATCCCGTCCCAAGCAGATGCAAACTCCTGCACACACGCACGCACGCCCACACACACACACACACACACACACACACACACACACACACACACACACACACACACACACACACACAATAGAGAAAGGGCAGCTGGCTGAGTGCAGATGTAGTTGATACAAAGAAGACGAAAACGCCATCAAAGGAGCCAACTGCACCGGGGGCACCAAGATTGGCAGCAATAGCCTTGGCAAGAGTAAACATGGGAAGCACCCCGGCCGCCACAGCCCACAGCTGCCCCCGGGGCAGCCGGCCCCCACAGAGGAAACACTAGTTTACTAATGAGACTAAGATAACAGTTAAGAAACAAATTAAACATAAACAGCTGATAAATAAAAATCTAAAACACAGTGATAAAAGATGACCAAGTAGAAACATATAATTACATTTATAAAATATTGTACTACAAATTATTAAGACTAGTTAAAACTAATAATTATTGCAAGTAAAAATAAATATGTAAGAAAATATGTGTTATTTAATTAAGAGTAGTAAGTAATAAAACACTGATAAAATATGTTAAAATAAAAATAAATAAAAAGGTAAAAACTGACTAAAATAGATCAAAATCACTTAAAAGCTATACTAAAAAGTCGAGTCTTGAGCCTGGCCTTAAAAACAAGAACACTCTCTACGGCCCTGAGATCCTCTGGCAGATTGTTCCAGAGGTGAGTGCCATAAAACTGGAAGGATGCCTCGCCTTGGTAGTGTGTCCTGACTTTTGGAATGACAAGGAGATGGCTGCCAGAGGAGCGCAGGGGCCGCGAAGGCTCGTATTTATGAAGCAGTTCTAAGAGATAAGAAGGCCCAAGACCATTAAGACATTTAAAAACCATTAAAAGAACCTTAAAATCAATCTTGAAACATACAGGAAGCCAATGCAGCTTGTTTAAGAGTGATGTAATGTGCTCCTGCCTCCTGGTCTTAGTCAGGACATGAGCTGCTGAATTTTGTAGGAGTTGTAAAACTGAGGTACTCTTTTTTTTTTTTTTTTTTTTTTTTTTGGAAGACCAGAAAGCAGGGCATTACAGTAATCAATTCTACTGGTGATAAAAGCATGCATCAGCGTCTCTGTATCGGCCAGAGAGAGAAAGGGGCGGACTCTGGCGATGTTTTTCAGGTGATAAAAACCAATTTTTGTAATATTAATGTGGGGAATAAAAGTTAGCTCAGAGTCAAAAATAACACCCAGGTTCTTCACTTGAGAAGACAAATTAATATTTAGTGACTGTAGCTTTGGAAAAAGTTTCTCTCTCTGGGTCTCAGGACCGATGACTAAAACTTCGGTTTTGTCCCGGTTAAGCTGGAGAAAGTTTTCTGACATCCAGGATTCAATATCCGAAATACAATTAAAAAGGGCATCCAATGGTGCCAGAGATGTACAACTGTGTATCATCTGCATAACTGTGAAATTGCACTCTGTGTCATCCGATGACGCCACCAAGTGGAAGCTTATACAGATTAAAAAGCACTGGGCCTAAAATCGAACCCTGGGGCACACCACAAGTAATCTCACAGGTCTTGGAACAGAAGGTATCTAGACTTGCCATAAAAGTCCTGTCATTGAGATACGAAGTAAACCATTTATGGACAGCACCAGAGAGGACAATGTGTTTTAACCGGTTTAAAAGAATTTTGTGGTCCACTGTGTTAAAGACAGCGCTTAAATCCAGTAGAACCAGAACTGTCACTTTCTGTGCATCATAATTTATTCTTACGTCATTCAAAACTCTTAACAGGGCCGTCTCAGTGCTGTGGTTTACTCTAAAACCAGACTGAAATTTCTCTAGGACATTATGTGCATTAATAAAATCATTAAGCTGTATTAAAACAAGCGTTTCTAAAATTTTACTTAACAATGGTAAGTTAGATATCGGTCTGAAGTTGTTAAAATCACTAAAAGTTTCTCTTCTTCAACAGGGGCCTCACCACTGCCCCCTTTAAAGGCAGCAGGAAAGACCCCTGTTTGAAGAGAACAGTTCATCATGGTTAAAATCTCATCTCTAAAATATTCATAAAACGGCTTAAAAAACGAAGTAGGAACTGGATCTAAAAGAGAAAACCTTATCTAGAGTTTCAGCCTCAACCAGGACAAAACTGTCCAGTGTTTCCTCTGGTAAAGGTACACACTCAGATTTCGATAAAACCATGTCACTGTGAGAGGATAAAATGTTGCATCTGATTGTGTGTACCTTCCCTCTGAAGTGGCCTGCAAGCTCCTAACAGAGAGAGTTTGATGGTGTTTCCTGAGATGCATCAGTGTTTTTGTTAAAAACTTCATTGTTGTGAGGTACTTCCTGAAATAGGGTGAGCATGATGACGTGGAGAGGTGGAAACTGGTACAGGGAATGCTGGGAAGTGGAGTTCAGGTGGTGTCTAGTGTAGAGCGGATGGCTGGAGGACTAGAATAATGACACTGGGCAGCAAAAGCAACATTATTTTGTAAAGATCCTAAACCAGTAACAGGAGCAACCCAGAAGTTAATTCTTGTGCCTCTAGGAAGCCACGGCATCTTTTAGATTCACTCTAATATCAAACGAAGAAAGCTAGAGGCTAACATTGAGCTAACAATTCTAACAGTAAATTAGAAAAAAAAATTGTCAGCTCTAAAAATATCACGCTATTTTTTAAACTACCAATACCTCGATATTACAGCGAACTGTATTACTCATCATCAGTATATTACTACTGTATTACTAATATGTATTACACACTACAAATGTATACTACTCCTCAACTTACTGTGTATGACTCGTCTTTGCTCGTCATCTAAAACCTGGAGCTGAGCCGTTGCTAGCAACAGCCATGAAACTCAGGAGAATCACTCGTTTGTTCTTAAAATAGACTGCAGTAAACAAATGTGACCACAGGATGTCATGCTTACTCAATTCTTACATATTACACCTTTAAGGACAAAATACACATGCTGGTTTCATTCTACTAGAGATCAATAGTGTGTCTCTTATTGTGTAACTGATGCACAGTTTGAATGGTTTTAGGCAGGTAACCTCTACATCGTGGACTTTGAGATCTTGGAGGGCATCAGTGCAAACTGTACAGACCCGCAGACGGTTCAGTACCTGGCGGCTCCTATCTGTCTGCTCTACAAGGGCGTGCAAAACAAGATCCTGCCCATAGCCATACAGGTTGAGAGATGCGACAATTAATGATGAAAACATGGCTTTTCTCTGTGCTTTCTATTGAACTCTGCTTGTTTTTGTTCAGCTTGGCCAGAATCCAGATAAAAACCCAATTTTCCTCCCCACTGATGGTCAATATGACTGGCTGCTGGCTAAGATCTGGGTCCGGTCAGCTGACTTTCAGTACCACCAGAACGTCACACACCTACTCAGGACACATCTGATAACAGAGGTGTTTGCCATCGCCATGTTTAGACAGCTTCCTGCCGTTCACCCCGTGTTTAAGGTAAAGGGTGTTTCATTAAATCTGACTCAGTGTTTGACTGGTGGTTTGACTAATTTCTTTTTTCTTACAGCTACTCATTCCACACATTCGTTTCACCATCGCCATCAACACCAAGGCCAGAGAGCAGCTCATCTGTGAGCATGGGATCTTTGACAAGGTGAGTTTGTTGATCAAAAAGGATAGCACAAAAAATATTTAAAACAGAAAAATATAAAAAGCAATGGTGCAAATGAATGAGTGATGTTCCATATCAGAGTATGATTACAGTCTTATTTGTTTTTAATATAATTATTTTTTTTTGAAAAGTTGATTTTTGGCCTCTATGGTTCCTGAGAATAGAAAAGCAGCATTTATTTTTTTTTATCCAAGAAAAAGTCACTTTATTATCTTTTCAGATTCAACAGTGTCAGCTGTAATTTAATCTAGCTGCAGATAATCGAAAGTTTTCTTGGTAAATAAACTATTAACCCTGATAAAGTGTAAAATTCTTAACATTTCTGAAAAAAACTTAACATTTGTTGGTTTTACAGATTATTTTATGTAAAAGTAAAGGGATGTTCCACCCAAAGTGAAATTTAGTTAGATAAGTGGGTAAAAGCATTCTGTAACCAGCGCAGCCCTTTTCCAAATCTAGCAGTATTCTGTTAGCTTTAGCTTAGCATAAACAATGAAAGTGAATGGTAACAGCTAGCACCACTGTAAGCCAGCGCTGCTAGGCACAAGGACATGACACAGTGACACGATGTCTGGCAGATGTTGTCACTTCCGAGTTTAATGTATAACATTTAGAACATTTAAACCTAATGACAGTAAACGACAGGTTTTGGGGCTGCTGGGTTGTGTCCTGCCTTGCAGCAGTAGCTTACCCAAGTAAAAATCATCTCCTGTAATTCCTTTGTGTTACTTATTTATTTCAGCTTGCAGTCAATATGATTATTGAGGTCTTCCAGAAAAATTAGGATCATTATTCAGCAATTTTCTTGACTTTTTCATTTGAAATGCTAGCTATTACCATTCACTTACAATGTTTATGCTAAGCTAAAGCTAACAGATTACTACCAGGTTAGAAGAATGATGCGTTTTACCTCTTGTCTAAATCTGGGGAATGTGGCAACAGACTGAATTTCACTTAGGGGCACATCCCTTTAAACATAAGTCAAAGCAACAAAAAAATATTATAATTCATTTAAAAATGACCGTACAATTTAGGGATGCACAATATCTACATCAATATTGACCAATGTAATTTTGTCACTGCTCTTTTAACGTCTTTTTTAATTTAATTTTATTTCTGTATACTAATTTGATTTCAAAATATACAGTTTTAGGTTTTCATTGTTTTTTCTTACACCTGGAAAGCACATTTAATCGCCTCTGTGTATGAATGTGCTACATAAACATAGCCACCTTGCCTATTTTTACAAATCAGTATCTCTCTGATGTCACATGGTGGTGGTCACGTGACAGTGATAGGGTTAAAGCACATGATTGTGGGGTTGTCTAAAGAAGAGAAGTGATTTAGTTGGTGTGGTTGCTTCTACACTGCGTCAGAAGAGTGCAGAACTCGGTCGTGGGGTGGAACTTATGGTTGTCTTTCACGCAACTGGACAGTGCTTGGACCAATCAAAATGTGACATTTTCATAGCGAGGAAAATCAGTCAACAGGGCAGTCTGCCATATACCATCGAAGCCGTACCGTTATCTGTTCAAATAAAGGATGCGTCAAACAAGCGCCGTTCCTGAGCCAACGCCATTGTTTTGCTTTGTGGCAGCTCTCCCGTCCTAAAGGAAAAGCTCTGACTTGGTGCAAAGCCCATTGAGTGCTGTGATTGGCCTGGACAAAACTTAGCCAAGACAATGGTAGATCTGCTGAGGCTACAATGGTGCACGGCTAGATCGACCTGCTGAGGAAAATCTTTTGCTACTGCTACAGTTGGTCTCGATTTCTAGTCTAATATATAAAATCTGTAAATATCAGTTACCGACCAGAGCAGCAGTATTATCGGTGCATCCCTACTATAAACCATAATAGCCGTCACCAAACGAGCTGATATTCCATGCATTTTATTCTCATGTAGGCCAATGCAACAGGTGGAGGTGGTCATGTCCAGCTGATCCAGAAGGCCACAAAGGATCTGACCTTCAGGTCTCTCTGCTTCCCTGATGCGATCAAGAGTCGCGGCGTAGACAGCGAGGAGGACCTGCCCACCTATTTCTACAGAGATGATGGCTACAAGGTGTGGGACGCCACCAAAAGGTGAGCAGCAGCTCAAATTGAAGAGTCTGCCTCACTGATGGAGGTTTTAGAGGAAGTTGCTGGGTTAATTGCTGTGCAACAGCAATTCAAGAACAGAGAAGTGAAAGCACCAACTTCCTCTGTGACACCAGTCTTCTTTTTCTGGGCAGCTTTGTGTCTGATGTGGTGAGTATTTACTACAACAGCGATGAAAGGGTGAGGGAAGACGAGGAGATCCAGGCCTTTGTTAAAGACGCCTGCAGCTTCGGCATGCAGGATTTTGATCATTGTGGTAGGTACTACTTCCTGTCAGCATCTCAACAAACACATTTCTAGTCCTCACATCCAACAGAGAGTAGTTATTCACCTCTGAGTTTAAAGTAGGAGATTCTGGAGAGCCAGCTTTAGAAGTCTGGCTCAGAAAAGGCTGAGTGATGTTGTAAGGTCATCCTGTGTTTTACCATCATTTGAGCAAGGATCTTTTTTCAGCATCGCTTGCAAAAGAAGAGTGTTTCACAAGGATTAACCTTCACTTCCACGTCTTCAATCTGTGCACAGAGTTTCCCAAGTCCCTGAAATCACTTGACGAGCTGATCGAGTACTTGACCGTTGTTATTTTCACGGCTTCTGCCCAGCATGCAGCGGTGAACTTTGGGCAGGTAGGTTACAACAACATGAGCAACGCCTTCAGCATTTTTACTAACAAATAAAAGTGAAGAAAGAAAGTCTTCAAGCAGAAAAACAGGCCGTCTTCATATTTTCCTGACGTTTCCATGACGTATGTGTTGGTGTAGTATGACTGGTGTTCCTGGATTCCCAATGCTCCATCCACCATGAGGAAGCCCCCCCCACAGGAGAAGGGCCTGGCAAACGTGAACACAATCATCGAGACGCTGCCGGATCGTGGTCGTTCCAGCTGGCACCTGGGGGCCGTTTGGGCCCTCAGCCAGTACCAGGAGAATGAGGTAATGTAGAACGAACACACACACACACTCTAAACCTATTGAAACCTCATTTAGCCTCTTGGATAATAACCGTCTCTCTGGCTGCAGCTCTACCTGGGCATGTACCCTGACGAACACTTCATCGAGAAGCCGGTGAAGGCGGCCATGGAGAAGTTCAGGAAGAAGCTGTCAGAGATAACCGGCTTCATCAAGGGCAGGAACGAGGGAAAGAAGCTGCCATACTACAACATGTCCCCTGACAAAATCCCCAACAGTGTTGCTGTTTGAGGAATGAAACTCTTCATGTTTAAAAAAAATAAACCACTTCAAAGTGATTCAGATACTTGGATCTGCTGAAAACATTTTCCTTTGTTTTCCTCATCACCATTCGCTTGTTTCACTAGCCGAGTCTGATCAGAGGCAGGATGGGTTTTGTTTCTGCTATGAAAGAGATTGAAGATGAAATTACAATTTGCTTGCATAATAAGCTAAAGCTGAGCATTTTTAATATAAAACATCTAACTGCAGGCCTCATGAGGCTTTGAAAGCACAATTAAACGTTAGTACAAATTCTGACTGAAAAATAAACTGAATTACTTGCATAAAAGCCTGGACTTTTTTTGTAATCTAACAAATAATGGAGCTTCAAACTAATCAAGAATTTTCACAAAAAGGACACAAAAAGAACGACGAACTGGAAAAAAGACTCAATTTTTATTTGGTTCTTTTTAATTCTACATTATTTGCTCAATCGGCAACAAACTGAAATCACATCGACAATTTTCATAAAAACAGAATAACTTTTTTTGTTGCTTTTCTTTTCTTTACAGTCACCATCTCAAAGTAACTTCACAGACGAACATGTGGAATGATATAAGACGGGGCAACAGTCGTAATATGTTCAAGCCCAGTCAGTAGTAAACAAATGTAGCTTTTATGCAAGTTACACAAGTCCCAAACGAGATCGGATTCAGCAGCTGGCTGGGAAAAAAAACATAATAAAGAAAAATCATATTATTAAAGATGGAAGTCACACTAAATTAATAAAGATCAGTTTCCCAGATATGCAGAGACCACAAATCTGAGCGGTGAGGATCGTATTTTATGCTTTTATTTCCAGGTGGTCTCGATTTTCATCAAAACTTTCCAGGAGCCCGCTCCTGTGAGTTGAATCTAAAACAACGTTACAAAAAAAAGTCGTCCTACATGATCCTAATTTTATTTTCCATCTCCAGAAAACTGACTTTAGCCAAAAATTATTTCATTTATCCAAAAAGAAACTGTGTAAATTGCATAAAATTACAAACGAGAGGACGAAGCAAACCCTTATCTGATAAAATAAATACAACTCGAAAATAAAGAAGCTTGTTTTAATATCCAGGACACCCTGGACATTAAACACCGGTTCGTAACTAGAATAGAACAACAACAACAAAAAAAGGGTAATTGCACTTTTTATCTGTCTAACTGCACCGAGCCTGGAGGGAGGTGAACTTTCTGAGAAGCTTCTCGTTACTCCGTCTTAATCAAACCTGACACACACAACTCCCTCGGCTCATGACGTCTATTAAGATGATACCAGACTGCAGATCTCAAATCATCACGGGGCGTCTACATAAATACAATATGCATCTTCACAAAGAACAAAACAAAGCACTGCTTTTTTATTGCTTCTGCAGTGCGGGACTTTTTAGGTACATTGTTGGACTGTCATTGGTCACAGGCCGTGTATTATCTGTGACAGCAAAAAAAAAAAAAAAAAAAAAAAAAAAAACATAACCAAAAAAGTAAAACGTCTAATGCTGGGATGGCTGCGAGGCCTTGCATTGTTTTGTTTGGACTAAAACAAAAAGCACTTTCGTGAGTTTAAACCCAGAAATGCCACACCTGCAGAAATCAACTACACCTGGTCTCAAATTCAGCTCCACACCAGCAGGTGGAGCTCCAGTCCACTCCTAATAAAAAAAAAATCCCGTTTCCATCACAGGTGGTGGATGTATAGAGAAATGTGGAGATCTTTTATTTTGAAAGAGCCACATGAGGCCAGACAGGACAGAAGATGGCTGTCTGATGATAAATGTGATAAAAGACGGATGTTAACGGTGTGGGAAAGTATAAAAAAGGCAACAAGAGGGAATCTGTTACCTCTGCATTCCAAAGTGAAATCGGTGTTGAATTTAAGACAAAAATAAGATGAAATCTAGATATTCTGACCAGCAGATACCAATTTAAAAAGCCACAATTATAAATCTGCTTGTGAAAGTTTAATTAGTCCACATCTGCCTGGTGGAAGCAACAAAGAGCCTGAAAACAGGGAGCCGTCAACTTCTCCAGGCGCACAAAATTACCCATCACTAAGCACACTAAAAACTGCACATGGAATATCACACTGTAAATACTGTGTTGTTCACAAGACAGGAAACAAAAGCATAACGCTGTATGTAGACAAAGGCTCGCATTACCTTCTCAGGACATGGGAATTAGTCTCGCAACTTCTGGTTGCTAGTAAAAAAAATATTTTTTTCATTCTTTTATTTGTGTTTTTGATCGTTTTTTTTAAAAAAAGGTTACATTCTCAAAGCCTTCAGAAAGCTTGTGTTGGGCAGGAGTCGTCATGTGGCCAACAAGTCCAACTCCACCTGCTTCCTTCAGGTTTGCTTCTGTTGTGTGTGCCATCCAAGGGTAAATCTGCAGGAGCGTTTGTGTACTTGAGGAAAAGTTTGACTGTGCTCTCCTCAACGAACAGCGTGCAAGATTCAGGTCGTTCTATAAAGAAAAACACGAAAAGAGGAGGAAAACTAGAGGAAGGGAGTGGATGTTTTGTTGTGGAAACAGAAAAATAAAAGTGCTCGATTGCATGTCCGAAGCCGAGTCAGAGTCCGGTTCAGACCGGAGCGGAGATGGCAGTATCCGGAATGCTCCAGAGAGTCGACGCATGGCGCTACATTGATCCAGTTTAGCCCAAAACTCATGAGGTAAAGAATAAAAGGGAACTTTTCAAACAAACCCACAAGCATAGAAGGAATCAGACCTGTGAAGTCTGTCCGAGTTCTGCTCATCTGAAGGTGGACACACAGACGTGTACGCTCCAGACCTGGGAAAGAAAAGATGATCCAGAGCAGGAGGAGGAAACGTGACAAGTAGAGAGGAGTCGGAGGAGAGTGGCTCAGTCTGGGATCAGAGGGAGAAGAGAGGGCATCACAGAGCATTCCCAGCACCGCTACTCCTCACTGTTGGTCTGTTTGTGTTGGAAAACCAAGAAAATGGACTTGCTGTCAGACGTGGAGCACCTCCATACTGTAGTCCTCTGTCTCTGTGTACTGGGAGGAGTTTGTGTCCGACTGGGTGGGGGCCAGCGCCTCCTTGCACTCCAGACTTGGCTCCATAAGCGGTGGCTTCTCCAGTGCCAGCTTTTTACATTCATCCGGCCGGTTCTGCACATATATGACCCGGTTGTAAGCCTTGAGTCTCTTCCATAGGTGGATGTAGACTTTGCACTGGACGTACATAAAAACCAGTCCGCCTGTAAAGCCGATGGCCACCACCACCAGCTTGGTCCAGAAAGGCCATTCCAGGATTCCTGAGGAGACAGAAAGAGAAACAGGTGCACAAGTCAAACACAAAGCAGACTCGAAACAGAATTAAGAACTAGATCGTAAATCACACCTGTACTCATGTTCTGAAGGGGAAAAATGAGAAAACACAGAAAAGGATGACTGGATGCACGGTTTTAAACAGAAAAACAAACCCATGGACGTCCAAAAGTATCACATAAAAACAAGATTAAAAAGAATTTACTTAATTATATATTTTATGAAAGCATTTCTTGCATCATTATCTAATAATGTGATTTTTGTGATACTGAGCATTAGATTAAAACCAGATCCTAGTAAAATAACAACAGAAATATTATTTCATTTCTGTATAATCGTGTATTACAAGGCAAAAATGCATTAATCCTAAAAAACCACAAACAAATGACCCCAAAAGTTACTGGAAACATGGCAAAAAATAAAAGCATAGTTGACAATTAAAGCAACACTAAAAAGAGTTTTTAACACTTAATGGCTCAAGAACTAGAGAAACCAGTTTGAAAGCAGTAGCTAATAAATTGGTTTTAGTGATTCTTGAGCCATAAACTTGAGTAAGCTCACATTGGACAGCCCTCTAGAGCCCCCTGCGGACCAGAAACTGCACTCAACAGTTTGGGGTTCAGGTAGGAACATAGTGGGAGGTGTCCACCTGCTTTACGGCAACAGTTAAGGGCTGTTAGCGAGGCTAGCATTTAGTTTTTTCAGTTTGCTGACCGTTAACTAATTCACTGCCAATGACGACTTGTGTGGGCATCGGAACGAGCCCCCGCACCGTGAGAACAAACATCCCAGCTCTAAAGCTGATCTTCATTCACATACGTCACACGTCACATGACCAGGAAGCAGAAAATCAATGTGTTAGGAGATCGTTTTGGGCCGCTGCTGTAAAAACAGTGAGGTGCGAACCGGAAAAGCTTCTGCTGATCACATTTCGACAACGGATTATGAAAGAACGAATAAAGATCCAAATGCGTGGATTCTTCCTGATGTAAGAGGTGAGTCTCTTCTTTGTTTTGTTAGTTTTGGCATTGACATCATCCTAGCGCACAACGTTCTGTGACTCTTAAAATGAACAGTAAAAACGCTGGCTGCAAAGGGCTTTTCTGATCTGGAAACGGCTGGCAGTAAATGAGTTAATAAAAAGCACAACAAGAAGATTTTTGCTTTTTTTTTGTTATCATTGCAGAGCCTGGAAGTAAAAGACAGCAATGTCTTTAGTGATAAATGACCTGAACTTTTATAGTGCTTTTCAGTGCCAGAGGACTGCAGGTCAAGCAAAGAGCTAAAACCAGCACGAACATTAGTGTGACCTACACTTGTTTGGGGGAGCTAAAGGAGGCAAAGAAATCACGAACTGATGGTGACCTGGATTTGTTGCTACTGGAATTGTAAGTAATAATAAGTTTTTGTCCAACAGTATGGATCTTTTCACTTCGTGGCATGTTAGTTTGTTCATGTTTGCATTACCTCGTTGTCAGCACAGCTAGCACTGCTGCTGCAGGGTTGCAATTCCACTTTAAACCAGTAGGAGAGAGAGGCGGGAAACGTATCAAGTCTTACTTTAAAGTGATGGTGTGGCGATAGCGGACAGGTCATACCTAAATCATAGCAGGCAAGCTGTATTTTTGTGTTTGAGTAAGGCCTAGTCCACACGTAGCCGGGTTTTAAAAAAAAAAACGAATATCTTCCCTCCAGAAACTTGCATCCACACCACCTCGTTTTAAAACAAAACTCCGTCCACACGTACCCGGATAAATACGTTGTTAAGGACATGTCAGACCTGTAGGCGGCAGTACTTCTCCCGTTCTTAACCTCGTCCTTCGTCTGTGGTCTTCCGCAAGGAGCAGTAATTCCGCTTGCAAAAACAAACAAGGAAAAAGCGCTTGGACAACTGATAAAGCGAGCACAGCTCTGAGGGCATCCATGCTGTCGGCTAGTGTAAACACAGGTCGCACACGTGATGTCAGCATTTTTTTGTCGCGGAAAGTGACGCTGCGGACCTTAAAACTCTAGTTTTGTCTGTCCACACGCAGACACCCAAAACAGAGAAAATGCAGATCTTCACTTTGGCCAGAGTTTTAAAAAAGATCCGTTTTCGTGTGAAAAAACTCAGTTTTCGTGTGGATGACAGGCCAAAACGTAGAAAAATATCTACGTTTTGGCAGATCCCCGGCTACGTGTGGACAGGGCCTAAGACCTTTCCAACGGATGGCCATTAGGATCAAAAATCCCTGGGAGCGCAACCTCCAGCAAAACGACAAACACATCAGACTCCCTTTCATCACTGGCAATGAGCGAAGAGATAAATATTTGTAAAACAACATCTATGAATGTGGAACATTTTGTAACAAATCAGTAAATGTGTTTTGTCCTCACGGGCTCCTGTAGAAGGAAACACTGAATCTAATATGGCGTCGCACCGAGACATAGACCCGCTCCCATGAATATTAGACCCAATTATTATGGTTACGTGTTAAGAATGAACTAAATGCTATTAAAAGTGTCCTATTCAATAGAGGAAAACAATTTCCAACAAATGTCACATGATCTGCCATTTCTGTGCTGGAAAAGCATTTTACTGTTTGCTTGAATTTATTAGAAGATGTTTAAAATTTATTATGTATAAACAGTAAAGAGATGTGTGCTGCCATGGAAACCGCCAGTCACATGTAAAGCTGTGAACACAAGCGTGTTCTTTAACTCTTTTTGGGTTCATTAGGCTGCGGCATTCAGGGAGGGGGTGAGGAGGGTGTCTTCTACCCTGAAATCAAGACAGGAAAGGGAAGGAAAGAGGAGTGCAGTTGCAGAGCTGGATACGGCGGACAGAAAGGCTGACGAGGAAAACACGTTGAAAGTCAAAAGGCCAAAGATGAAAAGTTTACCTGGGATTCTTCCGGCTGCATGAGTAAAGACAGTGTAAGTGTCACGCATTACAAAACACACAAACAGATTTCCAAATATTCATCATGCAACTAAACATCAAAAGTAGCAGGTGACTGAAGTCTAAATCTTCTTATATCAGGTTTAGTTTCCCAGAACTTATGAAGTGAATTAGGAAGGAACAGAGATATTAGTAAGACGGGCAAATGCAAAGTGGTGAGGAAATATTAGGCGTCGCCTTGGTGATCAAAAACTGACAGCCCTCAGAGACTGTGACAGGGCTGAATCATCAGGTTGGGATAAACAGGCGCAGCTTGCTCTTCCATCTGTACGTCGTCTCAGTGGTGCTACGCGAGCCAAGTAACAACCGGTGATCGCCACGGCAACTCATCACTAAAGCAGTCGTCTCCATTTTAAACCCCAATCATAATAGCACAAGCTGCCATCACAGCCAAGAGCTGCTTCTGTCTGAATGGAACGTCAGATGTTTGTGTTTAATCCATCCAAAGGGTCAGAAATCATCAAGTCGAAACTATTTAAAAGAGAAAGGGAGCTAGCTATCTGGACAAAATAACTAAAAACCCTCCAAAGTGGTAAACACCATCAGTGTGTGAATGTGTGTGTGACTGGATGAATGATACACTGTAGTGTAAAGCACTTTGGAGTCCTTACTCTTAGAGGCGCTATACAAGTGCGGGTCATTTATCATTTAAATGGCCTGTATTTGATATAGCGCCTTCTAGAGTCCTGGAACCCCCTGAGGCGCTTTACAACACAATCAGTCATTCACCCATTCACACACACATTCACACGCTGGTGGGGATGAGCCACGACGAAGCCCCACTGACCACCACCAGCAGGCAAGGCGGGTTAAGTGTCTCTCCCAAGGACACAATGACAGTGACAGACTGAGCGGGGCTCGAACCTGCACCTCCTGATTACGGGGCGAGCAATTAACTCCTGTGCCACCGTGGCCCCAAACTAAAAAGCACATATCTCATTTACAGGCTTAAATATCTCTGCTTTGTTGCTTTATGGTTAAAAAGTTAGAAATTTTGTTTATTTCAATATTTGAACTTTTACATTCTCTATAAGCCAACAGGACATTAAAGAGGTCTTTCACTCATATTTTTAATACATGTGCAGTGGTCCCCAGTAGGAATGAATGCCTTGTAAGTCGTACTCTGGGTAAAAAAGCTCTGGTGTGCCTGTTTCAGCTGGAGGAGAAAGAAGCTTCAGACAACAGGATTCAGAGTCTTATTGCCTGATATCTGGACATCATGCCTTGAATTGGCTAACAGCAATGTGACTCTACTACTTTAAATAACACAAGCCTGAAGGAGTTCTGCCGTGTGGTGGATTAGGGCTGAAATATCCAGCGTTTTTGGACCAAAATTGCAATTTCAAACAACACAATCACGTGATCGTCAAAGTGGTGGTTTTGTTTGTAGCACTCCTAACTGACCCAGGATCTGCTGTGTCAACTATTTTAGACATCTGAGAGAGGGCTAAGGACTGGACCGGCCCACCAGGACAATGTCCAGTATGCCAGATGGCCGGTCCATCACTGTTCACAAGCACATTAAAAATAAAAGATTTAAAAAGATATTAATGGAAGAAAAAACACTTAATAATTTTATGGTATGCTTCATATGTGAAGTATGTGTTGAACCTTAATTTGAAGAAAATTGTGAATCGAACTGAAACTGCAATTTCTGCTGGAAAAATGGCAATTCAATCACTTTCTAATCTCGTTCTGCCCTATTGTGGAGTTGCTAACGCTAACAGTTAGCTTCTACAAGTCGAGAGGTCCTCTGATGTTTCCTGGACACAGCCTTCCCCGTCGTGAGTCAAAGCTACAGCTCGACATAGATCTGTCAGGATTTTAAAATCCTAGAGTTTCATCGTCTATTTTCTATCGGAAGATAATGCAGGAGATAGGTGTAGGAGACTATTTTCATGTTTAGCTTGCATGAAAAACTCAGAGTGACTGATTATTTAAAAAAAAAGTAAACAATGTTTCTCAGTGAAAGACCTCTTTAAGCCAAGTTTGTCCTAAAAGAAGCCAAAATTGTGAACTTGTATGTTTAAATGTTTGTCAGCCGTTTTGTCCATACACACAAACATGCTTTTGTGTATGAATTTCTCTTTGAAAGGATGTTTTGCCAAACACAGGTTCCTTCATTATCCCTAACAATAAACAACCAATAAAACTTCAAAAATCTCTATTTTCTTCTGAAAAATAAAACACAAATGAATTGAACGTAAGCTGAATTCATATTCTACAGATAATCTGTGACAACAAAGCAGCAAGAGCAATCAAAACATGTATTTATATAAACATTTTCGGTTTCAGTAATAATAATAGTAATAATGATAATAATATACATTTGCACCCATAATGAACATTTCATGCTATTTGTACTTGTTTAAATGCTGCATTTGACCTGGAGCCTGCTGAATGAATGAAATTCAACACAGCCTTTAGTCCAACAATAACAATAAAATCATGGTGGCAAATTAATATCTTCTTTGTGTGTGTGAGAGAGTGTGTGTGCTGACCTAGTTTGATTTCTTCAGCCGTTCTGTCGATGAGAACGTAGAGCGACCACACTACGCAGGTGATGGCGATGACGTGGAAGGTGACCGAACACATGATCTTTCTTCTCTCACTCGCCGTCATCTGTAGTTTCTCCCACTGACATGCAGAGAAGATAAAAGAACAACTAAGGAAGGGGAATCCAAATAAAAAATGCTGACATCGCTTTAAAAAAACTGTTTTAGCATTTCAACTTTTTTAACTCATTCACTGCCATTGACGACTAAAGTCGTCATTTTAGATCCAACCGTTCACTGCCATTGACGACTAAAGTCGTCATTTTAGATCCAACCGTTCACTGCCAATGACGACTAAAGTCGTCATTTGCATTTTTTTTTACTGTTTGAGCATCAGAACGAGCCCCCGCGCTGAGAGAACAAACATCTCAGCCCTGAAGCCGACCTTCATCCGTATACGTCACATGTCATGTGATCAGGAAGCAGACCATCCATGTGTTAGGAGATCGTTTTGGGCCGTTCCTGTAAAAAAAGTGAGGCGTGAACCGGAAAAGCGTCTGCCGATCACAATTCAACTACGGATTATGAAAGAACGGATAACGCTCGAAACACACGGATTCTTCCTGATGTAAGAGGTGAGTCTCCTCTTTGTTTTGGTGTCGACATCATGCTAGCACGCAACGTTCTGTGACTCTTAAAAAAACAGTAAAAACTGTGAGAAACGCTGGCAGCGAAGGCCGTTAGCGATCAGGAAACGGCTGGCAGTGAATGAGTTAAAGGGGACATAAAGTCAAATGTTGCATTCTTTTGTGCTGCCATGTGCACCTCTACTGCCTCTAGTAGAGCAGTTTTGGGTCAGTGTTTGGTTTTAGGACATATGTTTGTGCGTAAAATTAGTCATTTAAAAAAAATCCACATTTGTGACATCACAAATGGGGGAATTAGAATAGAACCACCCCGCACAAGCTGCTGCTAGAAAAGCAGCGGCTCCACTCCGAGCGCCTCCCAGATGTCGGAGCTTCTCATGCCTGATTCACACATATTTTGGAATGGATGCGGTCCGAATTCTGTAAAGCTTACGCAAAGACGCAAAACCATTCAGTCTTTTTAGAGCGTTCTCGCCGGCTGGTGTGCTGATCCATATGCAGAGCTCTGGAAAGTTTCCGCATGGAGTCCAATTTTTCCAGATGCTGCGGATTTTCATGTAGTTAAAGAATTTACATGAGCCGGACAGGAAGTGAGACAAAGTCGGTGAGTTACATCCAGTATATTTCAAAATAAAACCTGTTTTCGTTTGTTTGTGGTAGCAGTAAGTTACAGATCTGTTCGGGGTCCTGCGCCTGCTAATGGTGTCCAACTACGACAACACCACTCTGCCAAAATATATTGCATCTCTTTTCGATTCTCTTCTTTTGAATAGCAAAAGTTTAGCAGTTTCGTTATTAAATCAAAGTTTCTTATTGTCTAAATGTTATCTTCATAACTAATTTGTTAGTAAAAAATGTAATTGTCTTTGTTTATTAAAGAATGTGAAACTACATAAAACAAACATCGGACTGCGCTAGAAAGCACAACAGCTCTTATATGTATTTACATAATTAGCAGCCTTTTCTGTTTGTATAAACATGAATTTCTTCGGTATATTTCTTAAGTTCTTATGTAAATTATTCTAGTCATTCATTCAAAATGTTGTCTACTTATTATTTGGTCAATAAAGTTCTTTTAAATTTTGCTTCATTTAATCAAAATCAGAGCTGCTCAGGGTTTATAAATTGATGTTTTTGCTTTTTTTTGTTTTACATTTCCTTTGGATATATAAACATATTTTCCTCAAAAGATTATTATTTTACTACAGAACTACAACCACAAGGACTACAATAACAAATGTGTCCAGACCAATCAAAATCTTCTGTGTCAACATGCTAACAAATGTTCTTACGAACGTGGTAATGCCCTCTCCCTTAAGTTGTACGTCCAGCCAATCATCTAGTGGGACAGACGCATGACCCTGAGCCAGCTCACGTAGAAGGAAACATGGCATCCCCCAAAGACTTAGACCGGCCCCTTTGTATTTTAGACCCGATTTTTTATGGTAATGTGTTACAAGGCCGCCAATGTTTTTCAACGACTGAACATGGTTTTATTCATATTACAACATTTCAATGGATATTTCCAGAGATTAAAGGTAAAAATACACATCGTCTCTTTAAAGTGACAGAGCCCTGAAACGGCTCATTCTGGAAGGTAATGAAAATGTCACAAATAAAAATGCTGAAATCCTTTATGTGAGATTTAGTGAAAAGAACTTTATAAACATGTTTTGTATCGACCATAATCTAACAGTCGAAACAGGTCTCCTTTGAACCATTTGCTTTCTTGGCCATTTGTATCAGGAGCAGCTCAGAGCGTGACAAATGTTTGACGTGGGCTGCTCGGCTGCCGTGATACAGATCCGATGCTGCACAGCATTTCCTGACAGGGTTGATGGGATGCACGAGGAAAATGGCACGCTGCACCCAGCTGCCTGCCAGGCAGCTCGGTTAACACATCGGCACCTTGTCAGTCACTCGCTGAACAATTCATCCTCCTGGAAATCGGCCCAGAAATAAATAAATAAATAAAAACACCCCCCACAAAACTCAGCACCATAAGGAAACAAGGGGTGTCGTTTTTCCACCCTTCACTCATAAATGTCCACGATGAAAAGCCCAAAAAGCAGGTTGGGTTTCATTAAAAGTCGATCATCGCAGCATGGCGTAAAACGGCTCTTTGATAAGACACCTACCACATCCACCAACCTCCTTCAATATTCAGCCACGGGATTCAGAAGCTATTAAGAGCAAAGCATTTTTTAAGGCCTTTTGTGCAGCTAATGAGGGGTGGAATAATTTAATTATTGTCCTGCTATCTGCAGGCCACAGCGATTGATAGCAACCTTTAACGGAAGTGCTCTTCATCCGAAACATTTGGAATGAATTGCCACCTTCTCCGTTTGTCTCCAGCTTATGAAAACTGCTCCGGAGCCTGGAGTGACGGTTGGGTTATCTCGACGGCAGATTAGAGGCCATTTCTGTGGTTTTTAGCATCACAGGATGAGAGATTAGTTCTCTGGATCAAAGCAGCCACAAGACACTGGATTTTATTAACTCTTAAAACATGAACACGAGCTACCTTTGGGCTACTTGTGCAGACACTCGTGCAAATCCCACATCGGAATCTGCTCATCCTCACCTTGCGCAGCGGTTTGAGCTTGGTCTCCATGATGAACTCGTATTTACAGAGCTCACAGCAGCGGGTGTCCGAGCTCTTGATCCACTGCTGCAGACAGGTCTGGTGGACAAAGCGCAGGCTCCCTGTGCAGTGGCACGGCGTGATCAGAGGACTCTCCTCATCCCCTTCACAGTGACAAATCCTGCCGGAAAATTGAAAAATTGTGTCAAAAACAAAACCAAATGCCAGACGGCTCTAGAACTACATGCTCAGAAAACGTTGAGTTTCCTGAAACTCGCCAAAATGCTGGTAAAGCATGACAGGTAAGCATGAATGTGTTCTAAAGATGTCCACGTCACCGTAAAGGTGTTTAAAAGCAGCAAAAATCTAGCATTTACAGCAATGCCGCAGCTTATTAGATTTACCGTAACAGGGTTTAGTAAAAGTCAGAAGTAAAAGTCAGTCTCTTATTGGAGATTCTGAGCACATAGAGCAGCAGCTGGACCATTAAATTAGTTGTGTTACCTCCAAGGACTGCTGGCTTCTTACAGAGAGGAACGGATCACATTTTGTAAATAACAGACAGCTCTCTGCTTTTCTGAGGCACTACACATCCGTCTGACAAAGAGGAGGAGCCTGGTTGCTGGGGGATGTCTGCAATAATCCAGATGTGTTGTTTCACATTTTATTTCCAATTCACCGTTAGCAGTGTTAGCTCTATGTTAGCCTTTCCCCATTGTTGGAGTTAAACAAAAATATGTTGTGGCTTCTTTGGGTTATAAGGAATAACTCCTATTTACTGGCTTCGACTCTGTCCACTACGCTGGCCGATGCACAATTACAAAAGCTGGCGCAGACTTGGCAACCCCACAGGCTCAAGTATGATTGGCTCTGGAACCAGGAAGTATGGAGGCAGGCCAAATTAAGATACTGGATTGGAAAATTCGTACTTATTGTACATTTACGTATTTAGAGAAAGCAAATTGTCAGATTATGGTAAAATATCCATCTTTCATGGTGATTTCAACGTTAAAAACGCAGAAAAAATGTTCAGACTTTTTACAAAATTTGGAAATGTCACGACACAGAACGTTTCCTCAAAGACTTTTTTAAGGTAAGATGAAAAAGTAAAGAAAGACACACACACACACACACACACACACACACACACACACACACACACACACACACACACACACACACACACACACACACACACACACACACACACACAGGTGGAGAAGGGAGGGGGAGTTCAGGTAGGACTGTCTTTATCCCAGTTCAGCACGAGAGGGAGCACATGCACCCACACGTGCCAGGAAGTGAGCAAGATCACGTCTACGTGCAGACAGCACGGATCGGGCCATACAGCATTACGAGATTAGACGTGATCAAAGGAGGGTGAAAATAGGCCATTTCCAAGTGAGGAGGAGGAGCAGAAGGAAGCATGGGATCAAAATAAAAAAAAGAGGCACAATCATCACCAGAAGAGATTTTTTTTTGTTCGTTTTTGATGGTGGTGGAGACGCTGCTTTGTTCGTTTTTGTGCATGAATAAAGAGATGATGAACTGCAGATTCTCATCCCACGCTTACTGGACTCCTATTTCAATTAAGAAGAAAAAAAATCAGCCAGAGGAAATGGAATGTTTTTATCAAAGATATACGTCTCTCTCTCACCGATGCTCATTTTCTCAGATGTAGGAGGGAGAAAGCACACTGAAATCCCTACACCTCCACAGCGGTAATAACATGATCAGCAAACAATATGGAGTGGGAAAAGAACCGGGGCTTCTGCGAATTTTCACGTAGGCTTTATCTGCTGAAGCCAGGCAGAATAGTACAGAAATGTGTTTCAAAGGCAACTTTAAAGATTAATGTGGCAAGGTGGATAAACGAGGGCCCGGGCGGGATTCGATCCCCAGACTCCCGGGTGAGAGTCATACGCTCTAACCAGTCAGCCAAAGGAACATCTCCTTGGCCAAGTAACCAGGGCGCATGATCAATCGGGACAATGTGACAGGACACTCACACTGTCACATTAAAATGGGGCAAATTCCAGCTTTGTCATCCTGAGCAACGTGCATCTTTACATTAGCATAATAATCGCACACCACCTTGCAAGTCTGCAGCTACATTAACAGGATTTGTCTCAGCTGCGCCTCGTTCCAGGCGTTGTTTAGCTGGGAGAGTTCTAATTTAATTTGCATCACCTGAGCAGGCACGACACACCTCCGTTCGTAGTCCTTTAACGACGGCAGAGGCAACGCTGGAGTATGTCAACATGAAAATGTGAGAAGCAAAACAGAATCGGGAGATCACAAGCACCACAAGCTGGGAGAGTGCTACAGTTCCTCCCTGCTGAGGCATTCACTTTCTTCCTGTTTGCTCTCTTTTTCAGTTTCCTCATACTTTTCTCCCCAGAGTCTGAGTTCCTTCAGTGTGTCGCTTCAAGCTCCTCCTTTCCTTTATTTCTCATTCTGCTTTCTGCCAGACTGTTTTTCAAAGCTAATTCTTCTTTTCCCTTTCTGCTCAGCAGATTTTAGTGCATTCGATGAGTGTGGGGTCGAGACGGGACCCAGCCTTAACGATAAAGCCAGAATCTGACTGCGCTTTAACCGAAGTAGCCGAATTTGTGTGAATTCAAGTGAAACTTTTTGAGATTTTTTTTTTTGCAATTCAGCACTAAAAATTGCAGATGCAGCAAAAAAAAAAAAACCTCAAGAAAAGAAAACTGAAGTATGAAAATAGGCAGTTATAATACAGATTAGATAAGTATGTGGATTATCTTTGCACACCAAAACCGTGTTCTTGCTTCGTTTCTCTGCAAGCGGACTCCTCTGAAGCAATATTCGATTCCCATCAGAATTTTCAACGCAACACAGTGATGTGTTGTCAATAAAACAGCAGGCTAGTGAATAACGTGACGCTGCTTACTGTACGTGAAATAAAAACCTCCCACACACACTTCTGCAGGTGAAGTCAGCCATGAGGTCTGAGCTCACGCTTCAGGCCACCTGACTGAGCGCTGGCGCGGTTTGTTTGTGTGTACAGTCAGGGACCACGCTGGCTATTTGAAGCCAATAATCTGCCTCTTGATCTCTGGCCCACACCGTGCCAAAGCTAAGCTTATGTTCCAGCGTAAGCCTGCTGCTGATGTGAGGGGAGAGGAAAAATAAATAGCAAAACGTGGAAAGCAGTGAGAGGATGCGCGGACACAGAGCTGAGAGGGAAAACCGACATAATTGACATCAAGTTGTTGTTAAATAATTAAACCTCTTCAATCCAGCGGACAGCTAAAAGACGGCGTATCGACGGCCGGATGCTGTAGCCTAGAAGGGCTCAATGTGATGCTGATCCAAACTGCTGCTTATGGCAACCAATCATTATCTGCTGCTGCCGAGCCTCATCCGTGGGTTCATGCAGCCACAACTTGATCTGTAATCAAATACTGCACACGATCCATTCTGTGTAACCCGGCCCGGCTCTGACGCCGTCCACACTCTGCCACTGGTTCCCAGACACAAACGCACTCCATGTCCACGTCTCGCCTCTCATCTATTTTTAAAAATCTCAGTTGCTCCTGACCCCCCCCCCCCCGCGCTCCAGGCATCTGAGTGAAATCAATTGCAGTTTTGAACGCCTCATATAGGACAATTTACTGCTTCGTTGCTCTACTCAAAGGGAAAAACACGTAGATGTGAGATAACAGTGGGGAAATGAAATGATATTGCATCAATTTTTTGCTCTGGAAACACACAAGGGACTGAATTATGACAGCTGGAGAGGAGAGAGGAGGTGTGTGTGGCTCTACGTCAGTTCCACGCTGAGCAGGGCTTTAGAGGAATAACGCTGCTGCAGAAGCTGGTGATACTACAGGATGAGAAGCTCTCTACTCCACAGGGCTTGGGGGTCAACTGCCACAGTACAGGTCACAGGAAGGGTGGGTGTGGATTACACCATCCAGACAGTCACCCACCTGCAGCAGTCCCCCGACAGAGAAAAGGGTGAGAGTGGACCGTTCTTCTCAGACAATGGGGACGAGCAGCGGTCCAGGTCGTTGTCCTCGTCCATATAGCACAGCGGGGCTAGGAGAGCGCCTGGCCCGGCAGGGGTCGGCAGCCGGTCCTTTCCCTTCTGAGATGATCTGGACTGGTCCTCCTCAAACACGTCGTCATCTCCCAGTGGCTCCTGGGACAGGAAGTGGGACTCGGCGCTCTCCAGCAGAGTGCTGGAAGACTTGATGTGGAGGTGGGAGGTGTAGCTGCCCAGCTCAGAGCACTGCAGGCTGGCCGAAGTGGAGGAGCGGGAGAAGGGAAGGAGGAGACGGAAGAAGTTTGAGCTTGTGGCGGGAGGAGGAGGATGGAGGTGAGTGTTGGGAGGACCGGATGAAGGACAGGTGCTCGGAGGGACGCCCAGCATATATTTGTAGTCCTTAGTGAGGGAGGGGACGAGGTGGGGGTGGGCCTGTTTTGAGTGTGGAGCGTTTGGAGGAGCGGCGACCAGCTTCCCGTTGAGCATATGCGCCCAATCCTCAGGGCCGGGATGCTGCGCAGACTCGGGCTCCACGCCCAGCTCTCCCTCGGAGCACGTGCGGTCTATGAAGTGCAGTCCACGACAGAGACTGTCCACTCGTTGTCCCACATCGTTTAGAGAAACAGAGAACCGGAGCGAGGCGTTGGGTCGGATGCCGCCCGACGCCGGGCGCAGCAGAGACAGCCAGTCTCTCTGTTTGGTGCACTTGGAGGCGGGAGGCGGCTCCACGCAGAGGGTGGTCACTGAAATCCCATCAGAGCCATGACCGGCCCTACTGCTGGAGTGCAGCAGCACCACTGCAGTCTGCTTCTGAGCATCCTGTTCCTGCCTGCTGCAGAGCACGCGTGTTTTTACAAGAGGGTCACATGAAAACAACAAGACAGGATGAGAGGATGGAAGGAGGGATGGAAAAGACATACATGTTTTTAGAATTATCTTAAGCTTTCACTAAGTCCAGATCACCACTAATCCATTTTATGTCAGTTCTTTGGTCAAGACTACTCCCTAAAGCTAAAGAGGAAGCTGATAAGAAACTCTACTGGTAACAGACGGGTAAACAGATTCACTTTACGGCCCTCAGGAGCTCACATCACCGTGGACACAGGTTATTGTTGTGGACCGAGGCTGGAGCGATGTGTACCTGCAGATGTCCTGGCTCGAGGGAGAAACCGAAGTTCTTGAGAAACTGCATGGGGCGTTGCCTGAAGTCGGGCTGCCTGCCTGAAGGACAAAACACACAAAACAAGATCATTCAGGAGGGAGAAATAGAGAGACGGTGACATAAAGCTACACGTTTACACAAAGAGAAATGTGCTCAGTGAGAACATGATAATAGAAAGATGCAGCACAGAGGGTGCGAGGCCATGAAAAGGAGGTGCTGAAGAGACACAAAGGGTTAGGAAAAAAGACGATGATGAGGAAAGAGAGCTGGAGGACGTGAGAAAGCTTTTTTTAAAAGATGCACCTGCAGGTACGAGGTTAATACGCCGCTACAAAACCTTCAGTAGCAGGATTTAGCAACAGCGGCTGTTACTTAAAGGCAAGGCTTGGCTGAGGGAACTTTCTGTAAAGTGACTGAGCACGAGCTATTAGATCATGTCAGCAGTTCTTCATTTTCTCAAGAAATTAATTAAAATGTTGGGAAGAAAACAGAAAACATCTGTTGATCCTGCTGCAGATGAGATGTGATGCTTATTAAAAGTCCTTTAAAGTGAAGGAGTTTGGATTTATTGTAGATTTTGTAGAAATTAAATCAAATTATTTAATTTTTGCCCAGCTGAGTCTTTATTTGTAGACCCTTTTTGCACAGAAGCGTCCTAACAAACACAGAATGGTAGCTAGCATAAAGACATGGGGGTGATTTCAACAAAAGACTAATTATCTATCGATTTCATTTCTACCTAAGGGAAAATCTATGGCTCATTACCCGACGAGGATCGAAAGAAAACTGGATGTCCAGTGATGGCCTTCAGCCCGTTTACCTGAGTCTGTTTCACTTTCACACCGAAGCACAAACACATGATGTTTTTGTTCCACATAATCTAAAGTTTCATCCTTGTTTATTCGTTGATTGTTTTATTCAAAAGTTGGCCTTGTTGGGACAACACAGGTGGGAAACGGTCCTTTAGGCGGCTAAAAAACAACGGCCAACTCCTGTCACTCATTCATTTGGTCGTCTCGTGTGCGTTGGTCAATAAATAACCAGCTTTGTCTCTGAGCAGTCAGATGAGTGTTTTATAGACAGAGGGGGAGATGATTAACTTCCTGTTATCTACCTGGCCTCTGACTTAAGACATCTGCTTTTTTCTTTAAAAAATAAATATATTGCGAGAAGTTTTGGATGAAGGGACTTCCCTCTACTCCCATATAATTCAGATGCAGCTCTTTAGCAGTGCTGTGCTAAAATGTGCATTCAAGCACTTTTAATCATCTTATTTACTTAGTTTGTTTTTCTTGGTCCTTCAAACACAAAGTTCCCACATCTGCTGATTTGTATTTGAATTGAGCTAAAACCATCTTCAACCAAGCAGCAAAAAAAATAAATAAAAACACACAATCACCACTAATAATAAATGTTTGATAAACCTTGATTTCAAACTGAATCAGACAAAATTTAGTTAATAGACTCTGAAAATCTCTAACTTTAGGCCCGTTTCCATTATCAGATCTAACGTGTAGTTTCACCGGACCGTCCCGGCGCATGCGTGTCTCCGTTTCACCAGGATGACCTAAAAGGACCACTTTCTGAACCATCAGAGAACCTGTTTGGAGAATGTACTCCAAAAATTCATATGGTAAACTCATGTTGATTGGTTCTAAGGAAAATTACATGAGCAGATGTCACCAAAACAACGGCTTTTGTATTAGAAGAGTTGCTGATCAATCAGACTGGAAGGAAAAGAAAATAGAAATGGCTGTTTCTAAACCCCCCAATGCCAAAAACTGCAGCAGGATCCACCCCGCCACACCGTAGCTTACCGTAAATCCTCTAATATTGGCCTGTATTCCATTACCGGCCGGGACTCCAACATTAGCTAGTCTGTTAGCAGGCTTTATTTACTTTGTTGACTGGATGTAAAAATGACCAAATTCCATGTGATCGGGACAAAAACAAACGCTTTTTTTTTCGTGTCCCGAAAGTAGTGCGCCACAAAGAACTTAACTTACTGAACGAAGACGGAATAGTGGATCGTAATCTCCGGCTGAAAGATGAGTAGAAATGGAGCAGAAAATGCTACAGTTTGCAGCGATCACTTCATCACAGGTAAAGGTTTGCTAAAGTTTTTTATGGTGTTTTATTGAACCGCTTAGAAATGCAGTTACAAAAACAGCAGGTAAATAGTTTGATACTGTTTTCACATGGACTCAACGCAAATAGCTTGTAGAGTACTAATGTTTTTAGCAGTTAGCTCAGTGTTGTAACATGGAACTGCGGAAGATGAGGATTAAACAATTGGAGGATTTTTTGTTTTTACTTCAAACCAAACGAGACACGAACTGTTAAACTTTGGAGCGGTAAGGTGTCTGCTGCCTTTTGTTGTGACTCAATAATCTAATTATCACCAAGCACTAGCAGCATGTTTGCTACGTTTGTTACCATACGGGGATTTAGCCTGAAACAACTGTGCTTTTTCTAAACGTTTTATATGCATACTATGTTAAATGTACATTTTCAGTAAACGAACCTAGTGTCTTATAGGTTCAAATAGACATAAAATCTTGTTTTTGTTCATTCTACTGGTAGTTTATTTAGCTCAAATTGAAATTGAGGCCCATCTCTAATTTTGGCCTCCTTCCAATAAAGGCAGGAACCAGGATGCGCTTGAATGAATAAAGGCCTATATTAGAGGATTTACGGTACAACAGTTTGTGGTTTACAGAGCACAGTGAAAAACTGATGTTTCTTCTGGTCACTGAACTCTGCTTTATGTCACACAGCTACTCTCCTCGTCCTCCGAATGGATTAATTATGACATAATTTGGCAGAATAAAACAGCTCTTTTAAGGTTAATGTCAGTGGATGGCTTTTGGCACTTTGCCAAGACATCAGCATACCATGACTGTTTCAGCAGTGACATCACTCAATGCTGACGCCTTAGCAAAGTCCTGACAGGGGCGGCAATGGATGAGAGGACCGAGCTATTGTAGTTCTCTTGGTTCTTCTGGAGGTTTCTTCCAGTTAAATGAGAGTTTTCCTCTCCACTGTCGCTACATGCTTGCTTAGAATGAGCTTGCTGTAAAGCTTGATGCAACCTGCTGGATTCCTCATATAGGAAACTTAACTAATTGGCATAATGAAGTGAACTCAGTTTTTCCTCCAGATGACTCTTGTCATGATTTGATGCTATTTAAATAAACAGAATCAAACTGTTTTAAAACAAATTTGTTTATACTTAAGTTGGCGATTATAACAAAAGCTGATCTAACATTATTTCAAGGCTTTAAACAATGAAAAATAATCTGATAATATATCAGTTTTAATAGAATGACAAAGAAAATCCAAGGTCTATGCGTCATGAAGCTGAATAACAAAGATTGGCATACGTGTTTAATCTATAACTTTACTTCCAAATATCTTTAGATTGTTCCAGCTGCAGGATGTGGACTGAAGATGTGCGTTCATGACCTCCAAGCGGAATGATCCTTGATGACTCAGCTGAAAAACCTTTTTGGTCAAACATGGATGAAGTACATCATGTCACAGATGTGAAGTCATGAAAATATGAAGCATATCTTTTCTAGGAGCACAAAGCGAGAGAACGTTGTTAGCTAAAGGTTGTGGGTCGATCTATAAAACAGGAGTTGTTTGCTCTTGTTTGAGAACACCATTGACACATTTGGGGCTTAACGCGGCTGATCTCATCAGTCTGGTCAGAAGAGCTGCTGGTTTGATAACCAATCTTCTCCCTGGCATTTCAGACCATCTCAGATCTTTCCATCTGCCTAAATAAGACCTTGTTTGAGCTTGAAGAAACTGTCAGGTGTACAACCGATTCCACTCAGACACGTTCCAACGTGGCAAAACAATCTGATATAAAGGTTACAACAGGCCAAGGTTGTGATAAATGTGGAACAAATGCTGAAAACATTTATTTGCACAACACACTTGATGCTATCTTCTGTTTTAGGTGATCTTGGAGGTAATAATGCAGGCTGCTCGTTTTAGTTTGCAAACTGTTATTTCCAGGAACTCCCATCCAGATCTGCAAGATTCTGCAGGATAAGAATGCGTAGCAGCCTCGACCTGCAGCAGCTTCCCCTTTTTAGAGCTCCACCAGATGTTTTCCTGAATATAAGCAGCAGCCCACTGGGCTGTTGTGCCCTTATGAGGACCGTGTGGGTTGCATCGCTCAGTTCCCTGTGCTAAAGGGAGAAAGTGCTACAGATAAGCCCGCTGACCTCACCGGGTGGAAAAATCAACTTGTGCCAAAAGCAGCAGGCAATCCTCGGCCCACACACTTCACACTTACCCTACACACACTTAACAACAGCTAACATTTTCACAAATCTCAGTATTTGGAGTATTTGGCTTTGGACATGCATTCATATCTGCTTTCACACATCTGAGACTGGCGACGAGCTCTCTGATGGAGGCAACATCATCTTCATGAGAGAGTTTAGCTTCTGGTTAGACTCTGCAGTTTGTTTAGCTCCTGTATGATCTTTTCATTCCGTTTGTTTATGAGTGACAGGTATTCCTTTGGTAGTCGTATACGACTGTCTGGATTTCTACAAGTTGGATGTGATCCCGAGTGAAAATCAGAAGAAAAACCAATCAACTCCGGAAGCATCTTGCCAGTAGATCGACGCAGAAATCCAAGCAGAACGTGCAAATTCTTTGTGTTTGAGCTCTCAGATGATCCGAATGGGACTGCCATGCCAAACAGTTATGAAACATCCCTCCCAGGCAGAAGCTGTGGTTATTTATATAGAGACATGTCTTTTTAAGTAGGTCAACAATTGGATAAAAGCGCATTGGGTTTTTTATTTGATCCGACACGCGCCGATGTGATTCAGTTTGAATCCGAGCCATGTGCAGCGATTTCAGCATTTGTTCTGATGCCCTGATTCCAGCCTCACATGAAGATGGGAGCAAAACAGCATACAGAGATTACCAGAGAAAACTCTTCCAGATGTGTAAATTAACCAGATAACTCATCAGTTCTGTATTAAACTGTGATTTAGCATTTAAAGACAAACAAACTTGATCTGCATGTTGT